TAAAATAAATTTTTAAAAACTTAATACGACAAGGTATTGCTCTATTGCCATTCAACCGTTTATATTTGATCACCAGTATTCTTAGGGGAGGTGAGGGGAGGGGGGAAATCACCAAAAAGTGTGACGCCATTTACGGGTAATATTTCTAGGCGTAGGCCATCGACCCTCCTCATCTTAAGCCACGCCCAAACCTAATATGGCGTCTTAAAATATTAAATACTAGCGTACCCGTCCCCCGCGCGTTGCCGCGGGGATAGAAGTAAGTTTGACGAAATGTATTAGAATGATTTCAGCAACACGTTACCAAACATATGTTCTAAGACGCGTGACCGTCTTTTCTAAAAGTGAGTTATTTAAATGTAAACAATGCCTGCGCTTAAATCATAAATATCGGGACACGGGTTTACCTACACTACAGCATGTAAACATTGAGTGTACATTAATCACTCACCGAAATAATGTTAGAACACACTTCGGTGACCGCCCATGTGTCAGAGACGTACAGGGGCGCTCTCAGGGCCCAACCCCCGATTAGACTACCGCATATGCGCGGCGTACGACCCCTGGCTCCTTAAAACTAACAGGCGCCATCGTGCCAAATAGCATCCTGTTAATAATGATGCAGATTTCGTCATTCGCTAAAGCGACACAAATGAACCGGATTGTTTTCTTTAACACGTAAAAAAAGTATTTAACGTGTTTTAAACATCAGTGTGACTGATGCAATATGCTAGCGTTACTAATGGTCTATTATTAGACGCTCGATCTCAATTTCTGACTGGCTTACGAAATTAAAAATGATTTTTTTACAGAACCCTTCCCTAGAGTTTTATAATGAACTCCCCAAAGTTTCATGCCTATCGGATAAACGGTGTCACTGCAATTCACTTTTATTATTTTTATATACCGTACATAGAAAAAAATCTGACCCTCCCGTGGCGCCGCCCTTGCGTAATTAATTTTTTTTTACAGAACCCTTCCCTAGAGTGGTATAATGAACTCCCTAAAGTCTCATGACTATCGGATGAACGATGCTAAACTAAAATCGACTTTCATTTTTATATACCGTATATAGAAAAAAAAGCAAATCGCGCCCTTTCGGGGCGCCACCCCTGCGAATTTGAAATATTTTTTTTCGCAGAAACCTCCCCAGGAATATTGTCAACAACTTACTAAAGTTTCATGCCTATCGGATGAACTCACTGCAATTCACTTTTATTATTTTTATATACCGTATATAGAGAAAAATCGGAACCTCCCTTGGCGCCGCCCTTGCGAAATTAAAAATGAATTTTTTTACAGAACCCTTCCCTAGAGTGGTATAATGAACTCCCTAAAGTCTCATGACTATCGGATGAACGATGCTAAACCAAAATCGACTTTTGTTTTTATATACCGTATATAGAAAAAAGCAAATCGCGCCCTGTCGGGGCGCCACCCCTGCGAATTTGAAATTTTTTTTTTCGCAGAAACCTTCCCAAGAATATTGTCAACAACTTACTAAAGTTTCATGGCGATCGTGTGAAAGGTGTCACGGCAATTCACTTTTATTATTTTTATATACCGTATATAGAGAAAAATCGCACCCTCCCGTGGCGCCGCCCTTGCGAAATTAAAAAATATTTTTTTACAGAACCCTTCCCTAGAGTTTTATAATGAACTCCCCAAAGTTTCATGCCTATCGGATGAACGGTGTTACTGCAATTCACTTTTATTATTTTTATATACCGTATATAGAGAAAAATCGGACCCTCCCGTGGCGCCGCCCTTGCGAAATTAATTTTTTTTTTACAGAACCCTTCCCTAGAGTTTTATAATGAACTCCCCAAAGTTTCATGCCTATCGGATGAACGGTGTTACTGCAATTCACTTTTATTATTTTTATATACCGTATATAGAGAAAAATCGGACCCTCCCGTGGCGCCGCCCTTGCGAAATTGAAAATTATTTTTTTACAGAACCCTTCCCTGGGGTGTTCTTATCAATTTCCCAAAGTTTGATGGCGATCGGATGAAAGGTGTAAACCGGAATAGACTTTTATTTTTATATACCGTATATAGAGAAAAAATCGGACCCTCCCGTGGCGCCGCCCTTGCGAAATTAATTTTTTTTTTTACAGAACCCTTCCTAGAGTTTTATAATGAACTCCCCAAAGTCTCATGCCTATCGGATAAACGGTGTCACTGCAATTCACTTTTATTCCTTTTATATACCGTAAATAGAGAAAAATCGGACCCTCCCGTGGCGCCGCCCTTGCGAAATTGAAAATTATTTTTTTACAGAACCCTTCCCTGGGGTGTTCTTATCAATTTCCCAAAGTTTGATGGCGATCGGATGAAAGGTGTAAAACCGGAATAGACTTTTATTTTTATATACCGTATATAGAGAAAAATCGGACCCTCCCGTGGCGCCGCCCTTGCGAAATTAAAAATTATTTTTTTTACAGAACCCTTCCCTAGAGTGGTATAATGAACTCCCCAAAGTCTCATGGCTATCGGATGAACGATGCCAAACCAAAATCGACTTTTATTTTTATATACGGTATATAGAGAAAAACAAATCGCGCCCTGCCGGGGCGCCACCCCTGCGAATTTGAAATTTTTTTTTTTCGCAGAAACCTCCCCAGGAATATTCTCAACAACTTCCCAAAGTTTCACGGCAATGTGATGAGAGGTGTAGTAATGCATAAAGGACAAACACACACACACCCACACACAAACACACATACATTGCTTTTTATATATATAGATTCACTACAGATACATTGTGTGATTAAACTTAACTGTTAACTATGTGGGACCCACTTACTTATGATACCATTCTACTTAGAAAAAAATAATGGGGAAAAAAAGAATATTGGAAATCAGTTTTGTAATAGCGTTGCTCTACACTACAATCTACAATAAAATTATCATCACCCAACCCCATACAGACTATTAAAGGTTAAACGTGCCTGTCCCGCCTGTCCCCAATCGTTTTATATGTAACTTTCGTTTTTTCCCCACAAATTAAGTCACAATGTTTTACGATATTTACCTGTATCCCTTCTTCACAAATGTTCATCGTCTCCCCCTGCTGACGACCCCCCCCCCCCCCCTGCCGCCCATACTCAGATACAAACAAAAATTGTAAACAAACCTCGCTTCAACATAGAACAGTGTCAACAACTTTTTTTTCCAGAGTTGCTGACTGTTTGGTCTGGTACCCATATAGATGAATATCGTCTTTTGGCCGACAACTTCACGGCTCCCTATAGGTAGGTCTACATTAATGTATAAGATAAGTATCGATTAGCCTTAAACATAGAATTATGGACCATTAGTTACGTTGTGTAAATGTTAGTTCTTTTTTTAAAGGGGCGTTAACCTTTAATGATATTGCACATGACTGTTCTAAACATAGAATTATGGACCATTAGTTACGTTGTGTAAATGTTAGTTCTTTTTTTAAAGGGGCGTTAACCTTTAATGATATTGCACGTGACTGTTCTAAAAATAGAAATATGGACCATTAGTTACGTTGTGTAAATGTTAATTTTTTTAAAGGGGCGTTAACCTTTAATGATATTGCACGTGACTGTTCTAAAAATAGAAATATGGACCATTAGTTACGTTGTGTAAATGTTAATTTTTTTAAAGGGGCGTTAACCTTTAATGATATTGCACGTGACTGTTCTAAAAATAGAAATATGGACCATTAGTTACGTTGTGTAAATGTTAATTTTTTTTTAAAGGGGCGTTAACCTTTAATGATATTGCACGTGACTGTTCTAAAAATAGAAATATGGACCACTAGTTACGTTGTGTAAATGTTAATTCTTTTCTTTTAAAGTGGCTTTATGGAAGACAACGGCTGGCTGCAAAATTCAACCTACGACGGGGACTGCGTGAGTTTGGTCTACACCTGTAACCCAAATATGTGAGTAGATTTGCTAGTTTTACCAGTTTTAAAAAAAACCACATGGTTAAATAAATGATGGTGTTGTCCTTCATACTTCTGTTTACGTTTCTTAATTAATTTTGGCTGCTTTGGATTACTGTCTACGTGTAATTACATGCTAGGTTTCGGATGTATCTTTTGCATGGGTGCCGGACATTACTCCCCCCTCCCCGTCTATTACCCTTCTGACATTTCCCCCACGACATTACCCCCGGAGCATTTACCCCCCCCCCCCCAGGTATATCACTCTCCCCCCCCCCACCCCCGTCAATTACCCCCATCCAGTTATGAATAAATAATGGTTAGAATTAGAGCTAGTGATATAGTTAGATGTAAGTTTAGAGTTAAGATTAGGATTGATGTTGGGGTTAGGGATGGTTTTAGGTTTGTGGTTGGGTTTTGGGGTTAGGGCTCTTCAGCATGTGGGGCTAGGGGGGGGGGGGGGGTAGGGGGGGGGGGTAATTGACAGTGAATGACTTCGTGGAGGGGAATTTCAGTGGGTAATTGACAGGGGGTAATGTCATTTACCCTTTTTGCATCAATCTGCATCAACCCATCTGCATCAACCCATCTGCATCAACCCATCTGCATCAACCCATCTGCATCAACCCATCTGCATCAACCCATCTGCATCAACCCATCTGCATCAACCCATCTGCATCAACCCATCTGCATCAGCTATCTGCATCAACCCTTCTGCATCGACCCATCTGCATCAGCTATATGCATCAACCCTTCTGCATCGACCCATCTGCATCAACTCATACACAACCACGCCTCCCATTTTCAGTAATAATAAAAGACAAAGATTTGCACCCCGCCCCTTATTGTCACACATCTCTGCAAAAGGCCAGATTCCCCCCGCCCCCCCCGTCACCAATTTATACTTCCCTCCACTCCCTACCATGCCCTAGATCCCCCCCCCCCGTCACCAATTTATACTTTCCTCCACTCCCAACCCCACCCCTGTCAGTGAACTAATAGACTGTCCTCGGAAAGTTTTTTTTCCAATTCTATCCGAATGTGTCAAGCCACAATGTTTCTTGATAACTTTTCTCAGCTGTATGTCTCCATGTCTCCCTAGATCAGTGGTTCGTAAAATGGGTTCCATCGAACCCTAAGGGTTACGTGAGTCAATCTCAGGGGTTCGGCTGGGGTCCAGGCAAACACCCGACTTATGATTCACAATCGCATCTTGTCAGTGTAGACGATTAAATGAGCGATTGCAGGCATGCTAGGCTTTGTCGCTTAGGTACAAATCTACAGGCATGTTTACATAGGGCCATTTTGCGTAAATTTTTATTTTTCCAGACACACATACCTTCTTCAAATGCAAAAATATGTCAGAAAATGTTAATTTTCAGTTAAAATGATAACGGTATTTGGTTTATAAGATGTTAATGTTTAGAAATAATTAATTAAAAATCGGAAAAAAAAACAACAGAAAATTAAGCTGAGTTCGGTGCTCCACCCCCTTATAAAACTAGTGGGGTTCGGTACCTCCTAAAAGGTTAAGAACCCTCCATTCCCCTGACATTTACTTTTACCTTTCCCTTGGTGTCCAACTTGAGCCGTTGTTGGAATTTTCTAGATATCGGCTGGCATTGTGATATAACTTTGTTGAAATATCTTAAAATTATCGTTTTAACAAAAGCTCATTATCTGAATGCTGACATGTCTTTTTTTATATCAACTTCATATTGCGTCCGTAAAAGAAAGGATAAAACATTGTTAAATATCAGATAATTATATTTAAACCTTTTTAGTAACTAAGAAATTGTAACGAAAGCATATTTCACGTTTTTTAACATGTTGCATCTATCCCGTCATATTCGTCTCGCTGACGTCCCTTTACGTTTTCCCAGTCTAGGAGAGATCGGTTGCACTGCCACCTACCTCAATAGATTCACCGCCTGCACAGAAAGCCTCAACTTTGTTTGCATCTTTCGTGGAATTCAAGGTGACTTCCCGGTCTACCCTACAGGTTTGTGTACATTTAAAAATAAACCGGGAGTGATTCCCCCTAATTTTTCTACAAACGTCAAGATTTGCAAACATTCGATTTTTTTTTCTATTTGATCTTTTTTTTTTTTTTTTTTTTTTTTTTTTTTTTTTTTTTTTTTTTTGCACGATCACAAGACTTTCTCTATACTTCGTATATAAGAAAAAGTAAAAAAAAAAAAAATTAGCAAGAGCTAAAAATAGTTGAACCACTAAGGCCTTTAGAAGTTTTGTGAAGATGTAGGACGAGAGACAAATAAGAAGTGGTGGTTAAAGAACTAAAACCGGGAATTACCTGTTAGAATTATTGTATTCGGATTGGGGATGGGTCGTCCATCAAGTCATAAAATAAGGGGTCGGGGGTCGAATTTTTGTGACAATATGTGACAAGAGAGGTCTGAGAGGTTCAGAAAGTGTGATGATTTGTATTTTGTGTTTTAAAAGGAAATGCTTGAAACTGAATTTTAGCCGTTGTTTAGCATCTATTTAAACATGTTTTGTGAAAATTGTAATAAAAACTTAACAGTATAGATAGACGACTGAATTTTGAACGAAGTTAATATTTTAAAAAGAAATTGCTTTCTTTTTAAAAATAGCAAATTTTGAGGGTGGGGGTGTGCTATGCTAAGCTGGGATGATGTTTTACTGGGATGATGTTTTACTGGGATGATGTTTTACTGGGATGTTTTACTGGGATGATGTTTTACTGGGATGATGTTTTACTGGGATGATGTTTTACTGGGATGATGTTTTACTGGGATGATGTTTTACTGGGATGATGTTTTATTGGGATGATGTTTTACTGGGATGATGTTTTACGGGGATGATGTTTTACGGGGATGAAGTTTTACTGGGAAAGCTGGGAGGCTGATCTTTTATGCCGATGTAAGGGGAAATGTAAAACTGTTTTTAAACGTTCACATCGTTTGCGGACTAAAAAATGTATCTATAAATGTTAAGATCGATTCAGTTTTATTATCTCAAAATAAATCCTTTTGTTAGTTTTTCCCCTCGTTTAAGTAGGCCGGATGTCACGTGACTCGGAGTACTGAGTAAATTTACACATCTTTTCTTTTTTTCTTTTTTTTTCCAGCCAGAGAGGGTGTGGTTGTTCTAAGTAACGACTACATCCTGACGGAGTTTTACATTTCTAACAAAGTGTCCAATGTAAACGGAAGTGACGACACCTGCCTTGCTAAGCTGTCAGGCGGGAAAACCTTCAGGTAGTCTTTCTGTTTCTATTCAAATAAATCTGGGCTTATACGTCATATTGACTATAAATACAACAACTGCAGGTGGAGAAGGGTTAAGTGTCGTCATCAATCTCTTTAAAAAAAAAAACTCAATAAATTCTAGGAGACTGCGCTATTTAAGTAACAAGATGATAATGGAGTTTTCTAAGAATTTTGTTCAGGATTTCTTTTAGATATTTTTCTTCAAGAGGAGGTGCGGATCTTAATAAAATGTTTTAAGTGGTGGTGGGGGGGGGGAGGGGGAGGTAATCCAAAAACTAAGGCGGGAGTGACTGTATCATTGTGTCAATAAAACGTTGCAGTACAGTGAGATGTCAGTGGAGAGTTTATATATATGTATATATATATATATATATATATATATATATATATATATATATATATATATATATATATAGAGAGAGAGAGAGAGAGAGAGAGAGAGAGAGAGAGAGAGGGGAGAGAGAGAGAGACAGTGAAACATCTATTATGGTCTTTAATCAATATTTTCTATTTACATTATTTTATATCTTTTTAAATATATCAATATTACCATTTTTAAAACTAATTGACTGCTGATTTCATACCCATGTCTTATTGTCTAGTCTGTCAACAAGCGGTCAGATAGCCCTGCTCAACAAGTATGTGGGGACTACAGCGTTCTCTGACTACACTGAACAACAGGTCTCCTTCAGCGGTGATCTGGAGTCCTTGCTGTTCTGGGTGGACGGTCTCAAAGACAAGTGTGTGGCCGCCCGATTTGTGGACAAACAAGGGGTAATTAATTAGTTTGTGAAATAAAGTAAACAGAGTTTCTTCCAGGTATCTCTTTGGGGGGAAGGGGGCTTTGCCCCCCCCCCCCCGAATGAAATGAAATTTATATAATTTATATAGAAAATATATACTTTTAACAGTGTCCCGTCCCCCCTGAAGAAAGTCTCCCCCCCCCCCGAAAATTTCAAGTGCCCCCCCCCCCCCCCCCGTAGAAAAAAATCTGGAAGAAACACTGAAAGTAGATATCCTCAACTGATTTTTATGGAAACGACTTATGATTGGTTATTTTTGTTAAAATTGAAGGAAAAAGATAATGTGTTAAATTTGTTTAAAATTCGCCTCAATTATGGAAATTGGAGTTAAGTCAGTGTTTGTTGCTTCATTGGGAATTGTGTTTGTAAACAGATCTGTTTACAATTCATATTTCGTGTATGTTAAAAGAAACAACTGAGATCTACATTTTTCTTCAGGCATACACAGTGACCTTCACCTCCTGGCCATGTGACCAAGACTTACTTGTCCTGTGCCAAGTCGCAAAAATTCTACCAGGTAAAACACTTTGATGTTGTTTCCTGCTTTATTTTCTAACTATACTTTCATCTGATACAATGGCTGTTCTTTATTAAGTGTAGGATTTAGAAAGAGACATCACAAAGTCAGGTGTCAACTTGGACTTGCGCAACCTTTCTCTAGTTTCTTTCAGAAAACTCTTTGAGGATGGCCACTTAAACTCCCCTTCCTCAAGCATATTGGCCTCAAGCCCCACCTCTGAGAAAATGAAAACATATAATTTACATAGAAAATGTATAGATAAGTGTATAGATTACTTTTACCACAGGCCACCCCCACAGAAATTTGAAGTATGCCTTCTCTAAAGTTTTGAGTGCCCCCCCCCCCCCCCCCCAAACCCTCCTGAAAAGAATTTCTTGAAGAAACTCTGCTTTCCTGCCAATAGTATTTATTTTTGGTAGAACATAAATCTAACAGAATTTGGTTTGTATTTTTTAATAGAAACGCCAGTCCCAAGATTAAAGTTTGACAGTCCTCGGTCTAACATTATTAAAGTGGACAATGAAATCCAAATGCCGTCAAGCTATTACCTCAACATCAACCCAGTCAGACAAACAACACCCGCAGTGAGGTTGTACTGTGTTACTGCTCCACTGCAGCCTGTAAGTAGCTTGAATCAGTAGTGTAGTGTAGTATAGTCACAACTTTATCATTGTGAAGGAATGGTTTGTTTTAAATTCAATATGTAAATATACATATGGATGATAAATATACATACAAATAGTAACCTTCATAGACTACATATACACACCGTTAACAATATGCATACACAAGTGCATAAGCATGCACAATATACTCATTTACCACATATACATATATGTGTTTGTGTATATAAATATGTGTATATATATATATATATATATATATATATATATATATATATATATATATATATATATATACACACATACACATATATACATACACTCATTCACCACATACACATATATGTGTGTGTATATATATATATAATATAATATAATATATATATATATACATATATATATTTACATTTATATTATGTCATTTTGATTTGAGAATAAATTTTTTTAAATCTATTGGTTTTATAAATTATTTGCCAAGTAAACGCCTTTTTTCAGAGCAAGAGGGAAGTCTGAAATATTTTACTTCAACACATGATTTTTTACAAATTTAATGCATCATTAATACTAACTCTGTACTTCATGGTTAAAATAAACCATTTTATTAATATATTTTAATTCTATTTTAATGAACATTTGCAGCCTTTCCAGACTGTTGTTATATATGCCAATCAAATACCTGTTCAAACCTCATCTGGTGTTAATCAGACTCTACATGAGATTCAGCTGTATCGCAATAATGTGAGACAATTTTTCCACTATGTTTAATCCTTTCTTGGTATTTAAACTACATTGTAGGCCTATATTAAACGGTTCAATCACCTATCTTGTGTTAATGATATTGAAGAGCTTGCGGCTCAATGGACAACAGATTTTCACTGCTGTGCAATGATGTAAAAAAATAAGTTAAATTACCTATTGACCAAATCATCCATATCCCAGATGACATATAGTTCATATTTTACCCAGATCTCTATACACGAGCATGTATAGTCAACACTATGCCTCATCATCTTTACTTTTCCCAACTGAAGTCAGGTACCAGTCAGAGATGAGTGAACTCACAGATATCCTACTCACTCTAACCACTGAATATTTGCATTATTTATCATGTAGTGGGAATATAAAACTTCTAAGCTTTTTTAAAACAAATTATTTTTTTCTATGAATAAAACAATTTTACAAACTTAGCATTTTTTTGTATTTAGGATTTCTCTTTAAATTTCAGGGAGATGTATATCCCACTGACCAAGGAAATATTTACTACCGCTGTGAGATCAATGATGCTAATGATAACAGGGTGTTAAAGTCAAATAGTGTTTTTATTCGTCTGATTGGTAGGTTTTTATTTAACCTTCTTATTCAGACCAATAGTAAGCAAGTAAAGTTCCCTTTCAAACCTGCCTGGTTTATAGGGCAAGTGAAGTAGAGTTCACTTGTTTCTGTGACCTTGGCATATGAAGAGATAGTGTCAGACCTATAGACACAGCTTTTAATAACATGGCAATATGTGCAATATACACATACAGTAGATAATCAATTAAATTATAGGGGATTTGGTGATTATGAGGTAAGAAGATATTTATGACAATTTTAATCATTATTCAGAATTAATCTGAATGGGATTGTATTAAATATCATATACATCAAAACATCATCAAAATGTTGGTTAACAAACTAAATTTATTCATTAACATATTTATTAACTTAGTTAACTTTAGTTCAAATATTATTCAGGTAGAGTGTAATTTTTCATGCAAAATATAGCCTACTTTTTAAAAGCATGAGTTCATTGTTGAGTCTGTTGTCCACTCTTACCATTCAAACACAGCACACTAAAAAGCATCTAATTAATTTTTACAAGTCTACAAAATGGGATGGATTAAAAACAAAACTTAACAAGCTAAAAGTATTTTTAACTTAAATGTACAATGACTTTGTGATAATCTGCTACAATTAAAAGATGGATGGAAATTGGCTAAAACGACATCAGGTCATTCACGGCTGTACTGCTGTGTAAACTTTTATAATAAAATTTTACTACTGAATCAGATACATTTTTTCCCTTTCTATCTCTGTTGGATGGAAACTATCCAAGCAAAAGGACAATTACTTTTTACAGACCAATCCACTGTCTTGTGAATTTTTATTCACTGGTCTCAAAAACATAAGTCTGAACATTGTAAGTATCATTGCATGCTTGATTACAGATCAGGAGATATACGCTGTCCACATACCACTAAACAAGACGTATGATTACACAACTCGCGTGGCATGGATGCTGCACAAAGCCACTTTAATTGACAACTGGTTTACAAGTGACGCTTACTATGGGTTCAATGAAAATATAAGGCTAAACCTGAATGAAATAACTACAAGTTTACAAAGAATAACAACTGCAACAGGCTTTACACCAGTACCTAAACTGTTTATGTAAGTATCATTAATATATTGATTAATATATATTATATATTAATAATATATATGTATCAGGTGTTAAATGGGGTGTGTACATTTGTATATAATCTGAACAAAAAAAATAATATTAATGCTGATCAATTCTTTTTTCCTTTTTTTTTTCAGAGCTGATAATGAAAATCCTACTTTCATTTTCTATGTAAAAAGGACAATACCAAATAACTTTACAATAAATAACTTATCAAAAGCAAACTATGATAAGACTGTGAATGCATTAGAGTCTTCTATTAAAATGGTAACTGAAGAAAAAGAATATATATATATATATATATATATATATATATATATATATATATATATATATATATATATATATATATATATATATATATAATGTTTGTGTGTGTGTGTATATATATATATATATATATATATATGTTTGTGTTTGTGTGTATTTATATGTCTATATGTCACCTATATGTCTGAGTACTTATGTGTGTATTTCAATATGAGCTTGTGTTTATATACATACACGTATACACAAATAAACACATGTATGCATGTTAATGTAATCTTTTTACAAAGCTCAAGGGAAATCTAAGTTACTTTGATGTGGGCTCAGTTCAAGTGTTCAGCATTGACTGGTGCTGGAACACCTCAATTCAAGCTGATGCCGTTGGTTTAAATGTCACACTGCCTCGGTCCAGGATTGGCACTGTCTGGTCAAGTGCCCAGCTCTGTGCCCAAGGTAATTCAAACTTGTTAAATATACTATACAATATTTTTTTCTTTACATTTTTGTTTCTTCTAAAGGTTTGAAAGTATTTGTAATCATTTTGTGTAGATGGACAGCCTATCCTAACAGTGAGGTGTAATGGAAATAAAAAAGTTGGATTGTCTTGGAGTAAAATCAGAGTTAACCCCCTTTGTGACTACTCAAGGGTTTTACAAAACAAGACTAATATTACCCACATTTTGGAAACTGTCTCACAGGTAAGCTAGGTAATCTTTCTTGTGGTATTTATTGTTATATCTTCTGCTCACTTATTGTGTATATATTTGTCAAATATTTTTTACCTATTTATTTGATAAAATACCTTATTAATAAAATAAATATTTAAAACTTTTATAATATTAAACTTTTTTGATGCACTGAAAATAAGAAAATAAAAAGTCCATTAAAATTAATTTGCTTTCTTTCAATCTTTAATAAAAGCTTTGGTCACTCTTGAGATATCTTACATATTTTAGCTACCAATGCTTTTACTGAAGAAATCAAATGATATTTAATTTTTTTATTTTGAATGTAGTTAAAACCTTATTACTATAAATTATTTTATGTTTTATTTACCACTTTTTAGCAATTCTTTATTAATGAAGTTGACACCGATTAAGCTCTTACTAAAAATATTTGCATTAAAGCCTGATCAGTAGCTTTAATTAGACTTAAACCTGATATTCTTTCAAGGACACTGGAGATTAATTTGTCTGGAAAGTTTGAACAAAATTAATTTTTTCACATTCCATTGTTTTTCTATTGTCAAAACATATTTTCAAATTGTAAATAATTCATGCATTATTTTTTATGTTTTTCTTAGAGCTATTATTCAGTTATTTCAAAATAAATATAAAATTGTGTTCTCTTTTTTTTCAGCAAAACATTACATCTATCAATGTTACAACTATCATTGATGCTGTGAAAAACTTGACGAGTGTACTTAAAAATGGCACAACAACTTCCATTGACATCGTGTATCTAGCTGACATCTTACAGAAGAGCACACAGGTAGCTAATCTATCATCAGACACAGTGCAAGGCATTATGGACATGGTATCCAATTTGAAACGTTTTTCCAGAAATCTACTGCAAGAATCAAACCAGATAGGCAATGCCACAAATAGGTGAGTCATTTTATTTTACATGAATTAAATTTTTTACTTTTCTTTTTCAAATATACAGGCTATATCAAAGCAAGCTAGTTAAATATACTAAAAAAAATTGGTAACTCTAACCTTACTACTGTTTTTCTAGATAAACCATGGTGTGAAATGGTTAAAAGGTTAAAATATGAACTCCTAGTTTGCTTAAAATATTACTAAGTGGGCTTACTATTGTGACCTGTAAAGTTTTCAAAAACATTTAATTAATTTGATTGAATATAGTTAGTTACTTTCATTGCCTCTTCAAAGGTATACAATGCATTTACTGTAGGCCTGCATATCGTACACTGGCTATCTTATTTGAAGTACTTGTAGTTCTTGAATCAGATCCTTTTAAAACTCTATACTTTTGTGAGCAACTAGCAGATACAATAATTACTATACCCACTACATAATCTTCTTTAGTTAATGTATATGTTTTTGATTGATCTTTGGCAAAACATTTTATGAACAATGTCTGGTGTTTGCTTTCTGTACAGAAAATATTTTCAAAAGTACACTATATTTAAATTCTAGTGAATTTTTAGTTTTCACATTCCTAGTTTTGCTATTAATTATTATAGTTTTGAAACTAGAATAAGGTAGATTAAAGTAATAAAAATAATTTATTTTAATTTACATTTAAATTTTTCAAAATAGACTTCTTAAATTAATTATAAAATACTTATTCAAATGTCAAGCTAAATATATACAGTAAACATTTCCAAATTAAACTTCAGATTACTCAAAAGCATGGACCACCTTGGAAAACAAATTGCCTCACAAACTGAAGGTGGTCTTCATCATCAGAGATTGATATCTGGGGGATTAGGTTTAGATGTTTGGGACTTTGCAAATGCTAAAAATTTGACAACCATTATTGGTTTAAAGGTTTGTTACTAGGAGTTAACATTAATCATTTGCTTTTAACACTATGTTTTTCATTTTATTTTTTATTCATTTTTTTTTAGTTGTTATTTTGATTTGTTTTCTTTTAGCTTAATAACTTAACAAATTTCTCTTTGAAAAAACAAAACTTTTAAAACTTCCAAACAAAACACTAAATCTATTTATTAAATATTATTCACTATTTCTGATATATAACTATGCGTTATTAAAAAGAACTTGGTATATCTGGATATAACAGGTCCTGTCTGGAGGTGAAACAGCTGTTTTATCAGCAGGTGAGCTCATCTCTTTGTTCACTAAAGAGAACCTACACTACAACGCAGCGGAAGTGGCTATAATATTGCCAAGAGAGTTCATTGAGGTATAAAATATTTTATTTTAGTAATGCAGTCTTTTTTAAAAAGAAAATTTTGTAGATATTTTATAATATTTACTCCATATTGAATTATTTCAAATAAAAATAAATTTCGTATTAGTCTCAAACCAATGGCTCAACATTTCTAATAAAACAATAATTTCTATTACAGCAATTTCAAGCCAATGGCTCATCACTAAGACTGTCAATGAATGTGTATAAAGACACAACGCTTTTTACAAGCATCCAAGACAACAACAACAGAACACTTAACAGTAAAGTTATAGCAGCACAGGTAAACTAGCCTTTTCAAAATAAAAACAATATAAGACTATGCAAATGTTGTATTAGCATTTTATGGAGGGTAATGGGTGGAGGGCTGACAGAGCAACAGCCAAGGGCCTCTGATAAAATATATTTTTGTTATAACTATATTTGTGTTTTGCTGTTTATTATGTATTATTTTCTTTTTAAAAATCAATATAAAACAAGATCTGTAATTAAAGTAATAAGTAACATAAATCAAAACAAACACTGGAATAAGGAACAAAAAACTGTAAATAAACATATCTTCTTCTAGAAGTAGAATATTACAAAAGATTCAGTTTATGAGCTGTACATGCTTAGCATTGATTTTTAAAATTAACATATATCACTAATTAAAAAAAAAAAAATATATATATATATATATATAATGTATGTATGTATATATATATATTTATATTTATATTAGTAATATTTAGTCAATCGATGTGATTTCATTTACTCCATCACATACAGATTCTGTTGGACAGCCAACAAATTTCTGACCTGAGCCCATACAATGTGACCACTGTATTTTTACCCTCTCAACAACTGCCACCAAAAGCTAGGACCAATCTGACCACCTGTGTGTACTGGTCATTCACTGAGAACTCTGGTGCAGGGGGTTGGAGCAGTGACGGATGTATGTACCAGCAGACAATAGAGGGCAGGGACATATGTGTGTGTGACCACCTCACCAACTTTGCTGTTCTCTTGGTAATATTTACATATATGTATAATATATAAGTATATATATATATATATGTATATATATATATATATATATATATATATATATATATATATATATATATATATATATATATATGTAATATATATATATATATATGTAATATATATATATATGTAATATATATATATATATATGTAATATATATATATATATATGTAATATATATATATATATATGTAATATATATATATATATACTTATATATATATATATATATATATATATATATATATATACTTATATATGTATATATATATATATGTATATATATATGTATATATATATGTATATATATATATATATATAAATATGTATATATATATATATATATATATGTATATGTATATATATATGTATATATATATATATATAAATATGTATATATATATATATATATATATATATATATATATATATGTATATATATATATATATATATATATAAACATATTTTATAGTTATACAAATAATACAACAACAAAGTCATTTAATTTATTTCCTTAGAACAATCGCTTTTTTATGTATAGATTTTTCAAATATATTGTTCAACACTTCTATAATTTAGCATTAAATTTGTGTGTATTTAGAGCTTCAATGATCAAGAGAGCATGGACCAAGAGAATCAGCTGGCACTAAGTATCATCTCCATTATTGGGCTCAGTCTGTCCATCATTGGGCTTTCGTTATCCATTCTTTCATTCCTGCTTATAAAGTAAGACTTTCAATAGGAACAATTATCTTTTTACACAAAATCAAACTGAAGTTGCATTTTAATCGGAGCTTGTGTTAAATGTTTATTAAGAGTGCACTGCTACCTCCTGCAGAGCACTGCGTCAAAGCCGCCCCCAGCAGACCATGTTCAACCTCTCCCTGGCCCTGCTCATGGCCTGGATTGTCTTCCTGGCAGGCATCAACCAAACGTCTTCCCACGCTGGATGTATTGTGGTGGCCGTCCTGCTGCATTACCTCATCCTGGCATCTTTCATGTGGATGTTGATGGAAGGAATTTTACAGTACCTGCTCTTTGTTAAAGTTATGAACATATACTTCCATCGTTACTTGCTCAAAACTGCCTTACCTGCTTGGGGTAAGAATAAATGAACTATTAATAGAATATTTTGGGTCAGTTGTCTATGAACTCATACTTCCATCGGTACATGCTCATAACTGCCTTACCTTCTTGAGGTAAGAATAAATATTATAAATGAACTATTAATAGAATATTTTGGGTCAGTATTAAGCTATGGTTTAGCCTTGGAGCACAAGTTTACAACTATAATGGAAGGAGTTTGCGTTTGTCTTAAGATTTATAGTTGTCACTTAGTCCAACCAGCTCTGGTGGCTATGGCATGTAGTTAAGTAAGAAAAAATGTGTATGGGTTTTGTAAAGTTCACATAATCTTCTAATATTGAATTAACAAAAAACCTTTTTTTTCCCCTCATTGTGACACAAGCAATTTCTTAATCTTTTGTCGTTTCTGAATTTCACTTTCTTATTAGCTGGTTTGATGGAGTTTATTCAATATTTCAGACTTTATGATCCCAAAGGGGTATTTTAAAGTGAATGGGTAGAAAGTGTAATGAAATTATTGCTACATAACTAATGATTTGTGTAAATAATGTGTAGTGAGAGTAGAATATTTGTATGTTGGTGGTTGAATTACTCAATGTATTGTTAGCATCAGGTTAGTGAATGTGTTTAGGTAAGTGTGTTAGTTTAAAGGCCCTACTCATGAGAGTAAAATTGAATTGGAAAAAGAAACAATTGGTGGAGTGAGTACAACAGTATGTCACGTAGTGTGTGTGTGGGGGTGGGGGGGGGATGAAGCAAAACAAGCACAAGTGGTAATGATGTACATAAGGAAACTTTGGTGGTGACTTTTGATGGTTACAATCAAATCACATTTTAATAATTACATTCACTATCATCACATTTACATAGTTCTAATTTTTTATGTGCCAATTTTTCATGTTGATTAATTTCATAAATCAGTGTTTGATTTAATCTGTTTATGACATGGAATCGTTGTTACCTGTGTTCATTTCCGTTGTTTTGTTTCTTTAAATAATTAGTAAAGACAAAATTATTTCTCAGCATGTATACAATTCTAAATTCTAAAAATAATTTTTTTAGGCCTTCCTGTTGTACCAGTGATAATTATACTGATTATTGACAAGGAATTATACAAAGGAGGAAATGAATAGTTAGTATATTTTATACTGTTGCTTTCATGTTTTTTGTGGTATTTTTTGTTATTTTTATATTTTTCCTTGTTAGCTTTATAACATTTAAATTATTATTAATCATGGTAAATTAATCCAATAAACATAATACATGGACCTGATGCTTTGTAATTTTTATGTAAATGTATTTTACTATTTGTTTCGTAAAATGTACTTACTCAATTTTTCAGTTGTTGGATGTCTTTACCGGCATTGTACTATGGGTTTGCTATCCCAATTGGAATCATTATCCTGACGAACATTGTCTTTTTCATCATGGTGACTGTGAGCCTGTGTCGCAGGAGGGACATGAGCAAACACTCAACCTCCAAGAGAAATCAGACGGTGGTCAATGTTAGAGCTTCCTTTATCTGCTTTTGTGTGCTGGGTAAGAACTTGGAAAATTTAAAATTACACTGTTGTTTTTTCTCATAATTAATAAAAAAGATCTAATGTTTCATTGGGCAGATGAAGTGGAGTTCATGTTTCTTGACCTCAGCAGAGGCGTAGCGACCCTTCCCGGCGCCCGGGGACAAACTTTTCTATTTGCACCCCTCCTCGAGATTTTGATTTGCACCCCCCCTCCAACTTTCGATTTGCACCCCCCCTCGAGCATTTGATTTGCAGGCCCCCCTCCCTCAAACTTTCGATTTGCACCCCCCCCCCCCTCGAGATTTTGATTTGCACCCCCCCCCCTCAAACTTTCGATTTGCACCCCCCTCAACCTTTCAATTTATTTTTCCAACCCATTTTTGGCGCCCCCTAAACTCGGCACCCGGGGACTTATGTCCCGTCCCCCCTCCCCCGCCCCCCCCCCCCTTGCTACGCTACTGGACCTCAGCATATAAGGGATAATGTGGTCAGCACTATGCCCAGCTGCCTTTACTTTCCCTAACATGAGTTAGGTAACCATCAGTGTTGGGTGGACTCAGGGACTCATAATTAATACTGGAGCTAAATTTAAACTAGCTTCAAGAAATTATACTCATTTATAATTAGCATACAAAGTGGGTGATATAGAATTAATAAACCATAGTTATGTCAGAAAAAAAGTGATAAACTAAAATTCTATGTAATAAACAAGTAACGCAATAACATTTCTTTCCCTTCCATTTATACATTTTAAGAAACCACCTATAACTACTCTGGTTTGAGTGCTATATTATATATGTAAAAATGTTATATCAAATTTTAGAATGTTTATTATTTTAAGTGTTGCAAGTATATTGAAAATAAATTCTAAAGTAAAAGTTTGATAAAGCCAAAACACTTAATAATTTTTCACATGATTTTTCTTTTAGGCCTGTCCTGGATATTTGGCTTCCTGGCAATAGCTGATGCTCGTGTTGCTTTCCAGTACTTGTTTTGTATTTTCAATACACTCCAAGGTTTTATAATGTTCATTATGATGACAGCTCGAGATAGTAATGTGAGAAAGTATTGGTTATCCAAGTTTTACAAACACCGCAAAAAAGAGAAAGAAAGAAAGACTGGTAATAGCTTAGTTATGTAATAAATTTATTCATAATTTAAATTACTTTTACCTAAGTTAAGAGATGATCATTCTAAAACAAATAGAACTATGTGTCATAGGTTAAAATAATTATACTTAATAAGAATTATACAAATTTTGTCCATTTTTAATAAAGAAATACTTTTGTTTCAAAAGAAAAGTCTATTTTGGGGAAATTTTTTCACTTTCTTTCATCTTACATAATGTCAAAAACAAATTAATGATGTAAATAGTTTTCTATTTTTATATCCCACCAAGTTCTTGTTTATTAATATACACAGTTTTATTGTAATATCATTGTATGCAATTTATTAACTGGTTATTTATCTTAAAAAATACATTCCTTATTTAAAATTTCTTCCTGCTTTAAACCAGAAAAAACATAACTTTTAATTACCAGATACTTACTTCCCCTTAACTTATTTAATTTCCCAGAATAGTGTAGATGTAGATAAGCAATTATGTTTCTCTAAAATTAACAGTATAACATTCATATCTTCATTTGTATGAAGTATTAATTTGTTCTTTATTTCAACAGGAAAAAGCAACTCTGAGAATACTAATTTCTATCCTAAAGCTGCTGCAACAAATAATACAGTCTCCAGTAATTCAAATTCAAAAAGCACAACTACAACAATTTTTGATGGAATAGATAAACATTGATCTGATGCAGGAATCAATAAGCATGATCAATTATAGTAACCTCTTGGTTCTGTTGTATAAATAGATGTCTTATAAACACCACTCATAATTTACTGAAAAGATATGTTTTATGTAGTTAAAATATTTTTTTCATATAGTAAATGATGGTTGTTTTTAAATATTTTATTAAAATGTATATATCTTATATTTTTTAAATAGATAGGTTTTTTAAAAGCTGTATGTTTATAATGAAAGCAATGTATCATATTTGATTGAATGTACTGAATTTATTAAAATTTTTAGCAAGAGACTTGCTTTATTTGCAGTGCTTTTATTTCTATAATTATTGGCATTATGGTACAAACACAATTATTGTTTTTTAATGTTTTTATGTGTTTTTTCCCTGGGTTCTCAAATCTGTTGTAACATTGAAACTAATAACTGTTGTTTTTAACCTAATCGGTTGTTCCATGTCTACCACAACTTAACCGGTTATTCCATGTCTACCACAGCTTAACCGGCTATTCCATGCCTACCACAACTTAGCCGGCTGTTCAATGTCTGTTACCACTTAACCGGTTGTTCCATGTCTACCACAACTTAACCGGTTGTTCCATGCCTACCACAACTTAACTGGTTGTTCCATGTCTACCACAACTTAACCGGTTATTCCATGTCTACCACAACTTAACCGGCTGTTCCATGTCTGTTACCACTTAACCGGTTGTTCCATGTCTACCACAACTTAACCGGTAGTTCCATGTCTACCACAACTTAACCTGTTGTTCCATGTCTACCACAACTTAACCGGTTGTTCCATGTCTACCACAACTTAACCGGCTCTTCCATGTCTACCACAACTTAACCGGCTCTTCCATGTCTGTTACCACTTAACCAATTATTCCATGTCTACTAAAACCTAACCAGTTCTATTTCTACCACAATCTAAACATATGTTCCATGTATGTTAAAACTAAACCGGTTATTCCATGGCTTATACAGCCTAGCCAGTTGTTCTAGAGATTACTTTACTGCTGGATAGGAGGCAGCAATTGTTTATACACGTTTTTTATTCACCTTAATTCCTCTGTAATGCTTAATGCTTTATTCAACATGGGTGGAATCTTGTGATCAGAGAATTTAACCAGTTTCAACCAAACTAGCTTGAAACATGGCTATGCTCCAATTATCATTATAGTGATTCCTTCTAACTATTTAGTTCATTGTTTAAATTATATTCCAATGTTTATGGGCTCATGACTAGATACTACTATGCCTACCCTTTTATATTTTAAACACTTTTTTACTTAAATTTATATTGTAAACCTTTATTTACTTTTTTATATACATTTTTAAAAAGCTTTTTAAACAAAGAAATAATGTGCATTATTATTTTTTTTTTGTAACTATATTTTGTGGCATTAAGTTAAGATGCTATTGGGAGGTTGTGCACAATAGTCGGATGAAAAAAGTTCTATAAATATAAAAAAAACAAAAACTATGTAATAGGTTTTTTCCTCATTAATTTTAAATAAAACAAAAATAAAAGTAGGTGTCCTTTGAAACCTGGTAGTCCATGAGGCAGAAGTGACCTCCCCATGTGAAAGGACAGTGTGGTCAGCACTATACCCAGCTGCCTCTACTTACCCTAATTTGAGTCTAGCTCCCATCAGTTCTAGGTGAACTCAGGATCTCCCTTGGCATATTGAGAAGCCTAAGACTTGATCAAACAAGCTAGTTTGTGATTTCAGTTTTTATTTTATCCTGAAGTGATCATGAGTCTCTTTTAAAGGCTGTGTAATATAGTCAAGTCATGTTCTTGTACTGGTCTGTAATGGTTAAAATTATTGTCTATGCAGACATACTCTAAAGAATGCTTGTAACTTTAAAATCTCAATTTGAATTCAAGACTTTTGGGCTATAGCATACAGCAACCATGCTGTCCCATTTAAATGTAATATTTACATTCATTTTCACCCTGCTCTGGCTGTCTAGACCAATTATTAGAACAGACTAAACAAGCTTTATTGTTTTTTTTTATTATCTGGAAAAGACACTAATATAGACTTATGATAAAAACAAAACTATTAGATTTTGTATTACTTTTATTTATTGAAATTCAAACATTTGTTGAAGATGAAGGAAATTCTCAGCACTTTACATAAAACCTCCCTTGGAAATTTTTCAAAACCATTTTATGTTTGATAAAGAGATTAAGTTTTAATGACTTTTTCCTTGATTAACATTGTTTAAAAATTCACTTTTTGAACAAAATGTAAAGAATAAATTAAAAAATCCTCAAGTGGTAAAAAGCTAAAAAAAACTCTAACATTTGTTGAACATTTTACTTTGTGTTATAAACATGTTATTTTGAAGAATCATAAAAAAAAATTCAGCATGTATAAACCTACTTATACTTGTTGTTAAAAAAACAATTTCTAGATTAATATCATTTATACATTGTTTTAATGGCACTTTTTTGAAAAAAAATATGAATAAAGTTGGCTTATAATAGGGCCTAATTAAATCATAGGGCAGCTTCTAATGAGCAGTAGAATTTAATCAATGGATAAAAATATGGATGTACTCATAGTTGAACAATTTAATGTATCGAATGCATCCATTTTAATTTCTGAGAAAAAATGTGCAGTTTATGGCACATGTTCACTTTTAAATCTGCAAGCAGGATAGGATTAAAGTAAAATTTAAACACTGGATTAAATCAACTTCAAAGTTTTGAGACGCAAAATCTTTTTCAATGGAAACCCAAAGTTAACACACAATTTAAAAAAGGCAATTAATACATGGCATATACACAATAAAATGTAAAGATTAATAAACATTCTATTACTTATCACAGTTTGCATGTAAAAATAAAATAATAAATCAAGGCTTGTGTTTGTAAAAATTTGTAGTAAAGGCTTTATAATACAGTGAAAAGAATTGAAGGCTTATGATGATAAATGAAATCAGTTGAATATGTATTTTATTAAATGAAATCTAAGAAACACATCTCATTCAAACACACAATATGTAAAAAAAATGTTACTCAACCTAACTACTAATTGTAACTGGTTTTTAGCCTTATAGTTTTACAATGGCTTTCAATTTCACTGAAACCAGTAATATAATAAATTAAAACTATTAAGTGCATATCAAAAGGCATTATATAAAAAAGGCTAGTTTTTATGATCATTTTATGCCATATTGATTATTAACAGGATCAATACTGATATTTACCATCAGGGTTTATGATACCACAAAAATACTGAGACAGTAATACTATTTGTAAAAAAAACTTGATTGAGACACAAAATACTGTTGTAATCAATATCTGTAAGTGCATTTTTACATTTTTACTTTTATTTAATATCAAGTGAAATGGGCTTCTAAAATATTAGTTGTTCTAAAATATTATGTACAAAAAACTCAAAGCATTAACAAGGGGTGATTTTTTTTTTAAACTGTTAAAAAGCTATTCATGTATTACTTTGATATTTTTCTACTGACAATACTAGTAATCTGAGTCACAAAGCTTGTTTTATTTAAGGGCAAAACATAATATATGGACTGTTTTAATTTATTTCAAAATGGCAAGAACAATAACAGTCTGCTATAAATTATTTAATACTGTAGTTGAAAACTGTTTATCTTTTCATATAAACTTTAGTTAAAATATGACAAAGTGGGTGGAAAACCAACATTCATAAGAATTATTTTATAATTCAAAAACAATTAAAACTAAGTATAAATAGTGATAATTTGAAAATTGTGCAGTAAAATGCTCAGTGTTATAAGACACTTGTGAGTTTTAAAATAATTGGACAATTAATACTGTAATTAACATCATGTAAAATGTTTAATGCTGACATGCAATTTAATATCTAATCATAATAATGCTGTGCTGAATCAATAAAATGATTTAACTAAGCTTAATGAAGCTAAGCAATTCAATTTGTAAACTTAGAAAACAGTGTAAGCATATGATTAAAAAATCAGTTATATCATCTTATTTATTTAAGACCTCTTAAGCTGGAACAGATGATTCAGAGTTGAAATTTTTTTGTGAATCATGGTATCTCAGGTCAAAAATACTGTAAAGATCTTACAACCAAATTTTTTTATTTTCCCTTATATTAACAGGGCTGTAATACATTACCAACAGAATATGCATTTATTCACATAGATGAAAGAATTTTAAAATCTCTTAATTGTGTACTTTTAAAACATTTAAGAATAGCTTACCATTGCTGGTGCTGAATTATATAAGGAAAAACATTCGCAATTGAAAATTATTTTTCTGAAGAAAGATATTTTTCGGTTCTTGAAGAAGCTTACTGCGCCTCCCCTAATGAAACAGGATGTATGCCAGCACGAATCTGCCTAACCTGGATCTCATCTAGAATATTCCTGAAAGATTCCACACTGACATGACCTTTGGGGTGAGTCTGGGAGGCCATTTTGTAAACTTTATCCAACTCCTCTCCTGTCAATCTCACACCAATATTTGTGAAGATGGAGCGAATCTGAAAGTCGGATAAACTTATGGATAACAAATAAATGTGCACATTTAAAAACATTTTAAAAATTTCATACATATTTAGTAGACCTATTTGATTTGATAAAGAAAGTTGGAGAAAACATTTGATCTTAAAGGTACATAAATTTTAAAAGTAAACTTAGATTAACAATTTCTTTTTAAAATATTAGTAGATTAAATTAAAATATTCTGAATAAAGACATAAAACCAAATGTTGAAAAGGCTGACACAATAGTTAGCTTTGTTGGCCTAAATTATAGAGATATCATCTTTAATTGAAGGGAGATAACTCACCTCTTCAAGAGTTCTTGGTTGAAGTAAATCTCTCTCATAAACACTGTGCTGACTGAAAAGAGAGGGGTACATCAAGCCGTACACATAGGCTTCATCCCCGTAGTTGATTCGATCAGCAATCCTCTTCACTTTGGGGGCACGCAGGTCAGAGCGTACACTTGGCACCCCGTATGTTCGAAAACCTTGTTTAAAGATAAAAAATGTGTCTAACATACATGATTTATTGTAATAGAAACTCAATGTACTGAGAAATAAGAAAACACTTTTTTTAAAAGATAAAACATTCATCTAACAAGTTCTATTGTAACTTAAACTAAACATACTGGGGAATTAGTAGAAAAAGGGCTTTGTTAAAAAGATTAAAAACGTATGCCAAAAATGTATTAGATTGCTAAAGTGCTATTTAATTCTAATGTTTTGTTTCTTACTTCAAAATAAATAATATTTAAGTGGTTTTTGCCTGCATTAGCATACTGCTTACTACATACTGATTGGAGCAATATAAGAATAATTATCTACAGACTTATGTTTTGACCTGATGAATGTGAAAGTGTTTTGGGCCTGCATTCAACAGCTATGAGTTCCCATAAACATAATGTTACTGTCAAACATAATGTCTAGACAACTCAGTATCACTGTTAGTATCAGGATTAAATTTCGGGTAGTGATACATAATTTTTTTTAGCTTTAAATAACTATTGCTGGAACTAGTTTTTGGTCAGGGTTGGGGTTACAGCAGCAATACTAAAAAAATTGCCTTGGATATAATTTTCTGGTTTAGTTCTAAAGCCAGACCGAGGTTAGGATTAAGGTAGCTATTCTAACAAAAAGTGTCTTACATTCTGCCAACTTTAATAAGAACCTGATTTTTTTTTATACATTAAGTGCACTCACTTTTTGAACTAATCCCACCTGGGCCGATGACTGCGTTGTACATGGCATTACTGGTGCTATGGTTACCAACATTGTAGTCAATCTGCCTGGGCAAAGTGCGGGCTGTAACTTCACTTGTCTGTGGTGTCTTCTGGACCAGGTCTGACTCGTTGATGAGTTTTTCAGGTGGGTTTGGATTCCTCAGGTAGTCGGCTCCAAACATCAGCGGTGGGGGCGCTAGGAAAGTATATTTTGTTTCAGGTGATTTATAAAGTTATGTTTTGATCAATCGTCAAGTTCAATTATGTAAACATTTTATGTAATTGTTGGGGGTTTGCAAGTTAAAATGCTTATATACAGTTGACTGCCACTGACACAGTCACCAACAAATGAACATTTAACTCAGATCACATGTCCTGTGAAAAATTCAGGACTTAAATTATTTAGTGACTAAACTTACATTATATACCATTTTAACATAAAAACAGAAATTTTGCTTATTGCTTAGTATTACTGTGCAAATGTACTAAAAATATCTTTTTAAAAATGTATTCATTTAAAGCTAAGCCTACTTATAATGAAAAAAAATGACTAAATTTTTAAACAAATTATTTGATAAACTATGTATAATTAAATTTAACTATAAAGACGCAAATCTTTATAAATGTTAGTATGAAAAATTAGTTTCAAAATAATTATAATTTTTGTGTGTGTATCAAGTAAGATAACAACGCAGAGGAAAATACTTACGGCCCAAATCATCCAAGCCTGATGGCATTTTTTCCTTCCAGTTGAGAAAATTACAAAATTCTATGTAGCTGATCATTCCATCCCCATCAACATCACAATAGTCCAGCACCTTCCCCAACATATCATGGTCTACTGGCAGTCTGTACTTTACACACACATTGTGCAGGTTTGACAGAGTTATTTTCCCTTTACCATTCTACACACATAATAAAACAATAAACTGTTAATATTATATAAACATTCAGAGTCTTAAAAATGAAATAGTAAAGTTTAATAAACCGGGAGTGATCTCCCCTAAACTTTCTCGAATATTCTTATATAAAATAACAGGGGATGGGAACTCGGGCTATAGACATGATTTTTAATCCATTTTAAATACTTTAAGTTTTAAAAATAGAATAAAATCTCGTAGACAAATTAATTGCACACCAAGTGAACGCCAAATAAAAAAGCGCATAATGGTGCGCAATATTATTAGTACTTTTAAAATTTACATTAGTTTTTTGAGAAATCGGAAGTAGCGTAAATTACTACTTCCAGTCAACGGAAATTACTCAAAATTTAACAGAAGGTAGAGAATTAGATCTTTTACTTACATGTGAAATTTCATTTATCTATCTGAAATAGTACTCAAGTTATAGGCTTTTGAAAAATTCAAAGTAGGAAAAGTACCACTTCCGGTTATCGGAAATCGCTCAAAAGTTGATACGGATCTACGATTTCGATAAAATACTTATATATGAAATTTCATCAACGTAGCTGTAACGGTACTCAAGTTATCGTGTTTACACACGGACAGACAGACACACAGACACACAGACAGACACACAGACATACGGACAAGATTGCAAAATTATGTTTTTCCGTATCAGTGAGGTGTAAAACGTCGAGATTTGTAAAAATCTCGATTTTTTTTTTTGCACGATTACAAGACTTTCTCTATACTTCGTATATACGAGAAAGTAAAAAGGGTTAAAATACATACTTTTCTATTTAAAACAGAACTAATTAAATTTGATAAATTACATCTAAAGCTTAATTGTACAGTTCAAAAAATTGGATTATAGTCTGTTCATTAATATATTCTTTCTTTGTTTATAATTATTCTTTTATTTTAACTGTCACCATACCAGCCTTGCCAACCATCATCGGTGATTCCGCCCATATACATTTATATAGAGAAAAACTTTGGAGATGTTATATACAAAACCAATAAAATATGTCTATTATGGTAGTATCACAACAATACCACTAATTTATCATATAAGCATGCATCATGGTCTTCCATTGATGTCACATACCAAGGGGAGGTAGTTTCTTTTAACTGAATTTTGTGACTATGAGTAATGCCAGGGTAAAATACTTAAAAAAAACTTTTTAAAAAACCACGTTTTTCTTGTGGACTAAAAAGTAGAAAATAAAATTTTCTTTTGTGCTTCCTCGAGCTGTGCAGGTTCTTGTGATGACTGACAAAAAACGTGGGTACGTTCACCATCAAATTTCCCGACCCATCTGCCCGACCCACGTTTTTTGTCAGTCATCACAAGAACCTGCACAGCTCGAGGAAGCACAAAAGAAAATTTTATTTTCTACTTTTTAGTCCACAAGAAAAACGTGGTTTTTTAAAAAGTTTTTTTTAAGTATTTTATTTTCTCCTTTTTAGTCCGTTGCTACACATGAAAAACGTGGTTTTTAAAAAAAGTGTTTATAAATACACGGACTAAAAACTTGAGCGACCAGGATTCGAACCTGGGTTGTCGCGGCCACAACGCGAAGTACTAACCACTATACGATCACGGCCAGCGCGCTCACATCGATTGGGGCCGAAGTAACTGGGTCAATAGGCCTCCAGTCTTGTCGGTATCTTTAGAAATCATGTCCTCAATTTTATGGTCCTTGGGGCGTAATTAAATTAAGCTAATTACGGTCACTAATTGCTAGTTTTTATGATTGCATCTGAAATTGTTAGGCGAAAGTAGCATGCATGCCAAATTTCAGGTCTATAGAGCAATCAGAAGTGGGCTAATTTTCGATGTCAATTTTAACAACAAACATCCAAACAAACAAACAAACGCGAAGCTGAGTTAAGAAAAACGTGTTAAAAATGGGTGAGGGGTTGAAGAAATGCAACAAAGCATGCTTTACTTAGTTCATAAATTTAAAGACACTTAAAAATTATGTTAATTTTTATTATAATTTCATTTAATGCTGGATGGGGGTAGGTAGTTAGAACTTTGTGACGTCACCATCTCAGGTGTGAGATCGAGCCTTAAATAACCTTACTGGGTTACCTGAATGTATAAACACAAGAACAGGTGAAAGAAATCTCTCAGCCTACCTGATCATAAAACCTAAAAGCTTCTAGAAGATTGTTGAAGTGGTGGTAGTTTATTTTTTTCAGCTGTTGTCTTATTGCGGCAACAAGAGCTCTCTGGTTCTCCTTCCCCCTGAGTAGGTTGTCTACCTTACGATTATGAATTAAGTCCCCTGCTCCATAGGGGTCAGGCTTATGCAAGGCTCCAAAAGTGTGGTCAGGGGGGACGTTCAGTGTGTCTTTTATTCTACGCAAAAAAAGGAAAAAAGGTTTCACTCATCTAAAAATGTTAAACAATTTAATTTTAACAATTTAAGATTTTCTAAATGTATGTGTGTGCTAATCTAAGTAAATACTACATAAATGTATTAAGTTACTTCTTGAAACTTTTTTAAATTTAACATATATTTTAAAAATTGTAAATGAAAGGGTTTTTATTCTGTAAATATTGTGTTAACATTCTGTAAATATGATGTTAATATTCTGTAAATATCATGTTGCCATTCTGTAAATATCATGTTAACATTCTGTAAAAATCATTATAACATTCTGTAAATATAATGTTACCATTCTAAAAATATCATGTTAACATTCTAAAAATATCATGTTAACATTCTGTAAATATGTTGCCATTCTGTAAATATCATGTTAACATTCTAAAAATATCATGTTAACATTCTAAAAATATGCTAACATTCCATAAATGCCAACTTACGGGTCGTGAACCTTCCCCAGCTGTGGCTGGAACTTCTCCCTGAAGTCATCTAACCTCTTGTTGATGATTTTTGTGGCCTGGTCTGCCTGTGTCTCATGGATCCACTCAAGGGTGTGTTTCGTCAATCTGCCGTCATTGCAGTGCGGAGTAGGCAAACCGTATTTCTTCTATTAAATAAAAAAACAATACTAAATATTAAACACACTTTCTTGATTTAAATGACACAAAAATATGTCACTTTCTGTTTTATGATTAATTCAAGTATAGATAGTAATGAGCCATCATGGCCTAATAATATGTGTGTTGTTTTTCTAAAAATAAAATATTTAACATTGAAAAGCATAAACAAGAGTTGTGTTGACTTGTAGCAAGACAAAGGTATTGCTACCTTAAGTTGATATTAATACCTGAGGGTGAAAGTTTGGGCTGCTGTAGCTGCGATTGACACGTTCCAAGGGGTAGTAGTCTGCATGAGACTTCACATAGAGATCATGTCCCTGTGAGGCCTCTTGAAAAACTTGCTCGTAATTTTTTGGTGGGTTTATAAGACCCCCTGCTCCAATCTCTGTGATAGATTTTACAAAGTAAGATTTTTAGATGTTTTTTTCTTCTAGGGGTCATCCATAAATGACGTCACACTCGTAGGGGGAGGGTCCGTAATTTTGTGACGGTGTGTGATGAGGGGAAGGGGTAGGGGGTCAGATGGTGCGACATTACACTTTTGCATTATAAAAAAGCAATGTTAGAAAACGAATTTTAGCAGTTTTTTCGCGTTTTAGAAAACTGTTTTGATAAATTGTAATAGTAATTAATTAAAATACTCTATGTTGACAGAGTTCAGACAAGATTTTGGAAAAATATCGATGTTTTAGGAAAAATTCAATTGCAATTTTGAGGGGGTTCTAAGCTGTTGTGTGACGTCATTTTAGGGGGGGATCTGGCTTTTTGTGACAATGCGTGACGGAAGGGAGGGGAGGTAAAAATCGTCAAAAAAATCGTGATCAGAAATATTGTGTATTAATAGTATTAGGTAAGCAAGGTACCTTCAGTTGAATGAATATCTAGTTATTAGAGTATAATAATACAACTGATTTCTATTTTTGGAAACAACACAGTTAGAATCTAGGTTAAAGGACCACAATAGTGTACAGATCACATAAGAGGTTTAAATGCACAGCTTACAGAAACCTTTTTATGTATTTAAACTATTTTCTTTATAGTGCAATTAGTTGTCATTTATTTGTTCCTTAAATATAATTATTTTATTAAAAATAATCAATAGAACTACTGATACAAAGTGCATCAAAGACAGTATTTTACTAGTATGGCTGTTAATTTCTTTGTAAAGGGAAACAATATTCACAATTTTCTAAATTTAACTTTTTAGTGGGATGTTCAAATTAAAAAAAATATTAACTCTTTCTATACCAGAGCCGTTTCCACCTCCTGACCTCATTATTTACGTGACCCAATTTTTTTTACACAGCCCTCACCTACTTAAACAATTATAGCTCCTATGTTTTTCTAACCAGATTTATGTATTATACATCAAAATGAACAGAAATGAAATTTCTATAGTAGTATATGAAGATAATTGTGAGTTATGTTAAAGAATGTAGGTTTTTTACATGTTAAATGACGTGTTAAAGAAACAAACACTAGCGGTGTCGAGCCGTACCTTGCGGCTCGCGGGCCTACGGTGAAGCTGGCTCAAGCCACATCTCGCGGCTCATGGGACGGATTGAGTTAATAGTTTCTCATAAACTTCTGTTTCTTTTTAGCTTAACATCTTTATAGTTATTAACATACCCATTTCTGTTGGAATGCCAAAGGTGAAACTACTGGGGTCAATGTTGTTAGGTAAATTTTTTCGCTGATCGTATGATCTCCCAAGTGGGGCTTTTTTATGGCTGAGATAGTCACTCTCTTGTCTGAAAGTATTTTATAACTTTTTTATTTCAATAAAATCACTTCATTTAAGTACACATAAAAAAATACACACATCAAAAAATAAATGGAGATCATTTGGCCATGTGTTGAGAAAAGAAGATACCTCAATATCAAAGACATCACTTTTAGTACATCCGATTGCAAAAGAAGGAGAGGGAGACCAAAGTATACCTGGTATTGAACAGTCAAGAGTAAACAAAGACAGCAGATCAAACCAGAAGGCAACAGAGAACCTGGCCAGACACAGACAGGAGTACGAGAGTTTTGTTGCGCCCCTTCATACTAAACAGTGTAAAAGGAAACAAATGGCAGTCCATGGTACAAGTAGAGCTCACCTGTTTCAAAAACCTCAGCATATGAAGGGATAGTAGGGTCAGAACTATGCCCAGATGGCTATACTTTCTCTAATTTGACTGAGGTACCCATTAGAACTGGGTGGACTCAGGGTGTCTTACTGACTCAAGCCTAGGATTCGAACTCCAGATGCTCGGGTTAGCAGTCAAACGCTCTACCATCCAACCACACTTTCCCCTCAATGTTATAGTTTGCAACAGAAAAAACGATATTTTTCATTGAAAGATTTAACATGTTTTGAATGAAAATCTAGGATGAAATTTTAAAATCTAGTCATGTAGTGTAGATTTCATATTATAGTTAGCTCTGAATACATACAAAAATTATCTTCAACCTGTCAAGAATCCTTTGAGTGAAGAAGCTTTTGGGATCCGGATTGACCACTTCCTTGGCACTGCTTGATGGGTGTGTGTTAACTCCATGTGTCATTTCTACAGCCCATTGTCTGTGGGGATCATAAGCAGTGCCATAGAACACTCGCATCTGTCCAGCATCAGGGCGGACTGTAGCTCGAAATTTTCTAATTACTTCTGGAGATGGAGGCTGGTATAAAGATATAATTTTAAAAACATAAATTTTAATTATTTAATAATATTTAATAAAAAAAAAACTTAGATTAAATAGTAATAATTTACAATTAGAGATACATAATTTCGTGAATTTGTTTAATGCTCCATAACCTATGTGCATAAGAATAAATAGTAAACAATATTTTAAAAATTTTACATCTTTTGGCTAAAATTTCTAAAGCAATAGCTATTTATTTCATTTGCCATGAGGTAAAGTAAGAAGTTGGGGGTTGTGGATCTTAGAAGTGTCAGTGTTGTAAATATTTATTATATTTCCTTTGTTTTGTTGATCTTTTTCTTTCCTGGCAATTTGATATTGTTACATCTTTAAAACTAAAATATTAAAACACTCACCCTGGTATCCTTTACACGTAAACATTGATCAGAAGAATCTCCAAAATAATTTAGCTTTCCAGCCTGTACAGGAAAATAATGAAATTAGCTGCTTTTGTTGGAAGTAGCATAATCATTAATTAGCCTAACAAATAGATCATCAATTGCTTCCATTGGCTTGAAAAGTCTATGGAATCATACTAAGAAACTGTTTTAAATCTATTAAAAAAAATATGGCAAGAGAAAAAATTATAGTTACATTTCTAAAAAAATAACAGTCAGGACCTGCCCATACAGCTAAATGGATAAGATTTACGAGAAACAAATACATATCTGGGAAGTGTGATCAATAAGGACGGGGGAGCAGACAAGGACATAAAATGCAGTATGAACAAGGCTAGATGTGCCTTCAACTCACTGCGCCCGATGTGAAGGTGCATGGCCCTGCCTGTCACTCCAGAGCAAAATTGGGATTTTCAACACAAATATTAAGGTAGTATTGCTCTAATAATAATAACATCACAATATTGCTACTTACAGCCACACATTGAGGTGTCCTGTCAATGAATTTTCCCTCATAAGCTGGTTTACCAGAAAGTGCAGGAAATTTAGAAGTTGTTGGATTTGCCATTTTTATTTGGCCAATGTCATTAAAACTCAGAATAAAGAGTTACGTGAGTGAATTTATTTGTTTACAAAAGCGCCATTTAGTATAGGCCTGATTACACGTATAAGTATAAAAGGTTTAATGGTCTTATAATTAGTACTCAGGCTTGTGTTGTTTCAATTACTACACACGACCTCCATCTTCATAGCAATTTCCTAGCAACCAGAAGCTATTACTTGACACGCAAATTGTGGAAATAGAAAAACAAATGTTTCACATTTATTTTACCCAAATCATTTAGAACATCTTTACAATATTTTAATAATTTACTGGTTTTATTTTGAAACATTATTACTTGTTCTTTATTAATAATTTTTAAAAATAAACTTCCTCCAGAAACAATTATTGTGGAAAATTAATTTACCATTAGTAAGATGGCGACCTCCATGGCTTATTTCGTCAGGAAATGACTTTGCCAAAGAGCGCAGGCTAAGATTAATTATTTCTTTAAAGTATATTACTAAAATCGAGTGTATTATCGTTTATAATAAGTATTGCAAATATGCAACTAATTAAAAGGGCAGGGTTTGCTGTGGCAAATCTTGTAAAAGTCAATGCATCAACAAAATTCTCCAGGCAAGTTTGTTTCAAATTGTTTGGTTTTTCTCATTTTTGTGCGATTGAAGAGTGATTAGAATGTAGATCTAGATCTAGAGTCTAGATCTAGATTCTCTAGATCTAGTTAAAAGTATTAAATAACTAACTTATATGATTTTTTAAACACAAAAATGAATTTCGCCAGTATGGACAATAATAACAATTAGTTGTCAATTAGGCCTAAACTCAAGGTTTGATTTCATTACTTCCATTTCGGCACTACTGACTCAGTACTGAGGCTTATCCACTATCCAGTCTCACCAAGGCCCTAGACTGGGTGGCAGGAGATGTGGAACGCAATAGTTCTGTGCATGCAAACTGACCTTATAGCTGCGCAATAGGCACAATTTAGTATTTACCCTTTTACTTTTAGACTTATTCTTCTGTCAGCGCTTTCTGTACCATGTGATTGAGCGGTTGCGCTTTTTTTGCTGTGTTTTTTTTTGTTTTTGTAATAATGGTTTTTCATATATCAAATTGATAGGATAATAAGTAATTATTAAATGCTTGTGAGATTAGTAATTGAACAAAAAGTAGCAAAATACGAAAAAAATAGTTACATAGGCCTACGCATTTGCCTTTTCCGGCTAGAATCAGCCGTAACTTATATTCCCCCCGCCCCTCGTCGTTTTGAAAGCGCTTGTAAAAAATGGCATAGATTATCTATTTTTTCAAGTACTTGAATATTGAAATTAAAGATTTTATAGTTATTGGCTAATTAAAGAAGCCTAAACTCATTTTTATAATAGTTAATAAGAATCACGTGCGTGTGACCTAGTCTTTGTGGTTTGTTTCATGAGATTGAGTGCTGAGCTGCATGAGCGAAAGTCTGTTACAAAGAAAGTATCTTAAAGTAAAGTAGTTTAACAAGAACTAGATTTATATTAACAGTAACAGGTAACCACTGCTAATTCCTCTTTCCCACAAGTATATAATAAAATAATTGTGATGACTCAAGTTAAGTTATGGATGTCAAGCAGAAGATAGAACAAACAGAGCATAGCGTAGTCAGGTAGACGAATAGAATTACAGGAGATGACAGGTCACGTGAGACTGTCAGTTGACCACTGAAGCGTGGGTCAGCAGTTAGAGATAGGTAGCGCTAGGGGCGGGAAAGATGTAAGAGTTAGAATGTAGGTAGTAGTAGGGATGGTCATAAAAGCGTGTAGGGAGAAGTCAAGTTTTAGGTGCAGTCATTTAGTGATAGTAGATAGTCATGTGTTTAAGGCGTAATTATGGTAGAAGTCGATTTGATGTATAAATAAAGAAGTGTATTATATTGAATTGGACCTTTTGTGTTGATTCCACTCTGTACCAGGCGTACATAAGAAGAGGCGATCCCCGTAGAAAGAATATATACCATATGTTCATAACGAAACATTACAGCTATATATATAATCAAACTTTCTACAACTCTGCCACAACTGGAAAAACTCCACCCTCTCAATAATTATAATAAATTAGTCACAATTGTTTAATCTAGCTCAGCCATGAAATTCTTCGTTTATTACGACATAACGATGCCTTTAAAAAATAATCAACAATCCAAAACAGAAAAGGTAAAAATGGGTGGGGACTGATGTACCTGGCAAAATCACTTCAATCACACTCTTAATATAAATAAGTTTTTTGAAGTTATTTATTAATACATAATACATGTAACTTTTAGATTTAGGCCCTATACATTCATTCCTAAGATATATTTCCTCACAGCATTCTTAAAAGTCTAGATTACATTATCTGTTTTACCACAATTAAAAATATTATGTTTAGCAGAATAGATCTTCATCAACCCTGAATTGAAGTCAGTTTGGGCCTTGTTAAATCTAGTGTTCAGTTAACTTGAATGAATATACTTTGCACTGGAACAAGTTAAAAATTTTTTTAAATCTATTAAAGTTTAATTAATCAACATTTTACTTTATTAGAACAAGAAATGTCCGCTGGCTTAGTGACGAGGTAAACAAACGTGTCAGAGCATTGAAACCTGGTGACAAGCTTCATGGCTACACAGTCGAAAAGGTATACATTTGAAATACATTTTAAACTTTACTCATTTGCTTTTCCAGAACTTTTACTTTCTTAGTACTTACTTTATTTTATCATAAACAAATGTATTTAATGTGAATCAGGTTGAAGAAGTCCCTGACTTTTTCATCACTGCTGTTATGCTCACCCATGATAAGACTGGTGCTCAACATTTACATGCTGCTAGGGATGATGACAATAATGCATTTAGGTCAGTGTAATCACCATTAATAATATTTTTAATTAGCAATTTTGTCTGTTACAAGTATTTATGTTATATATTTTTTGTATATTTCTAATGACCACTACTGTTTTACTATATACATTAATATATAAATTGGTGTGAAATTTAACTTACTGCTGTCTCTGTTGTTTGTTATAGCTCATCATCTTTCTTTTCCAGTGTAACTTTTAGGACAACCCCCCTGGATAGTACAGGTGTCCCGCACATTTTAGAGCACACTGTCCTCTGTGGGTCTGAACGTTTTCCAGTCAGAGATCCATTTTTCAAAATGTTAAGCAGGTCTTTGGCCACATTTATGAATGCCTTAACAGGTATTGTATATACTCTCATTCATTTTGTTGTAACTTTACTATTCATTTAATTACCTTGATAACTTATTTTACTTTATTTAAAGTATTACAACCAAAAAAAGATTGACTTAGATGTATGTTAACTGAAAATCTCCTCAAACGTTAGTAGAAAAAACATTGCTGCAGTAAATGAATTTTCAGTGTGCTTTTGTGTGTGTTTAACTCCAGTACTGTAAACCTTTTTATTTTGCAGCATACGACTGGACCATGTATCCCTTTTCTAGCCAGAATGAGAAAGACTTCAAAAATTTGTTGTCTGTGTATATGGATGCAGCATTTTTCCCATTAGTCAGAGAGCTAGATTTTTGGTAAGGATAATACCTAGTCACAGTGTATAGGGCTTGCTTATTTCCAGTCAAACTTTACAGCTCTTGTACAGTATAATTACTCAGTTGTGTTATTCACTGTGCTGTATATTTATAAATATTTGATTTACCTTATTTTATGATAGTTACAGCAGAACTATAAAATTTAATAAAGACTTTTTTAATGTTTTAGAAAAAGAATATGTCTTTTTATCTTTTTTAGCCAGGAAGGTTGGAGAATTGAACATACAGAACCAGGAAATGCATCTTCACCTATTATATTTAAAGGAGTAGTTTACAATGAAATGAAAGGTGTTTTTGTAAGCATCCATTTTTTAACACTTCTATCTTGCTATAATTGAATGTTTAAATAGATTAAAAGCAAAGTAAAGTTAAGATCTTTAGACCTAATGATCCTTTGTGCAGATGAAGTAGAGTTCATATGTTTCTTGACCACAGCATATGAAAGGATGGTGTGGTCAGCACTATGCTCTGCTGCTTTTTCTTTCCCCAAAATATGTCATGTACCCATCAAAGCTGGGTTGACTCAGAGATCTCCTACAGTAAGAAGTCTGAACCGAAATCCAAACTCAAGATCTTTGGGCTAGCAACTAAACACTCTACCATTTGACCATGCTGTTCCTATTTAAATAGATTACAAGTATTTATATTCCTAAGGGGAAATATTTTCATTTTTTTTTTTACTTCCAGTCCAATTCTCAAAATGTTTATTGCCAAGAGGCTTTGAGCTCTCTGTTACCCAGTCATACCTATGGTGTGGTATCTGGGGGAGACCCTGCTCATATACCAGAACTAACATATCAACAACTTAAAGAATTCCATTCTACCCATTACCACCCTAGTAATGCCAGGTCAGTGTGCTTTGTTGAAGGCTTAAATTTCATTAAAAAATTTCACCATTCAAGTTTTGAATTCTTTTTTTTTTACGTTTATCTGAGAGCATTTATTTAAGTTTTTTTGTCTTTTCATTAACTTTATATCAACATTTTTAACATAACTGTAATCATGCTGTTAAAAATAATGCTTGTTAATTTCTTAATGGTTCACTAATGCTAGATCAATACTAATAAATTACATTTTGCGGTTAATTATAATTTAATTATTAAAGTCTGTTACAAAGTATTAATTTTTACCATGTATCTTCATTAATATTATCCTTCAGATTTTTCACTTATGGAAATTTTCCACTAGAGAACCACCTGGAGTTCATCAATGGATACATCGGTAGATTTGACAAGATCGCGCCCAGTGCAGAAGTTCCTAAAGAACCCAGATGGGACCAGCCCGTAAGTCTGGCTTTTGTTCAACTGTTAATTAGTGATCTAGTTATATTTTTTACTAATCTCGTCCATTTAGGTTAGTAGATTAGTCATCATCTAGTCTAAGAAATTTTAAGGCTCTCATGCTTTGTTAAAAACAAGCATTTGTTTAGTTCAGATGTTTATTTTTTTTAAATCTTATTTAATTAAATTTATTGGGTGTTAGCATTTTACTGTCCACAACATACACCCAATAACCTACAGTTTTAATAACTGTTGTGGCTACATCATGTTAACTTTACTCCATTGATTACCCTTTGTTTAAAACAATTGTAATTAAGAGCTCTTATCTTTTCTGAAAGAAATCCAAAACCATATACTGCCCTCCTGACCCAATGGCAGCAGATCCAGAAAAACAAAGTACAGTATCTGTGAGCTATTTGTTAGCAGAGTAAGTAGCACTTTACTAAATAATCAATGAGTACTTGCACTATATGTTTATAACTTTGTTAAGCTATATCTTTGTAGTTGGTGTTTTTTTTTAAATATTCATATTAAAATTGTGTTTTGCTAATTGGTTTCAATTAATAACACTCAGCATTTTTAATGAGTTGTTGGTTTCTATAACAATTTATTTAATACTCATATATTGCCACAGTACTATTGTTTACATTATCAACATTTTTGAGCATAAAATGCTTGATCTTCTCTTTACACATTCTTTCCCATGTCTGCAAAACTAAAAGTTAATGGCCTGTTAAATTGCCATATCAATAGCCTGGTTTTGATATGTGTCCAAAGTATAAGTCCTCCATGAAAACTGTTGTGTATCCACAGTATAAGACCTCTGTTGAAAATGTTAGGAATCCACAGTATAAAAGACCAGTGTTGAAAATGTAATGTATCCACAGTATAAAATACCCTTGTAGTAAATGATACGTATCCACAGTATAAAATACACTTGTTGTAAATGTGTATCCACAGTATAAAAGACCCCTATGAAAACTTTGTGTATCCACAGTATAAAAGACCCCTATGAAAACTGTGTATCCACAGTATAAAAGACCCCTATGAAAACTTTGTGTGTATCCACAGTATAAAAGACCCCTATGAAAACCTTTGTGTATCCACAGTATAAAAGACCCCTATGAAAACTGTGTATCCACAGTATAAAAGACCCCTATGAAAACTTTGTGTATCCACAGTATAAAAGACCCCTATGAAAACTGTGTATCCACAGTATAAAAGACCCCTATGAAAACTTTGTGTATCCACAGTATAAAAGACCCCTATGAAAACTGTGTATCCACAGTCTAAAAGACCCCTATGAAAACTTTGTGTATCCACAGTATAAAAGACCCCTATGAAAACCTTATGTATCCACAGTATAAAAGACCCCTATAAAAACCTTGTGTATACACAGTATAAAAGACCCCTATGAAAACCTTGTGTATCCACAGTATAAAAAACCCCTGTAGTAAATGTTGTGTATCCACAGTATAAAAGACCCCTATGAAAACCTTGTGTATCCACAGTATAAAAGACCCCTATTAAAACCTTGTGTATCCACAGTATAAAAAACCCCTGTAGTGAATGTTGTGTATCCACAGTATAAAAGACCCCTATTAAAACCTTGTGTATCCACAGTATAAAAAAACCCTGTAGTAAATGTTGTGTATCCACAGTATAAAAGACCCCTATGAAAACCTTGTGTATCCACAGTATAAAAGACCCTTTATGAAAACCTTGTGTATCCACAGTATAAAACACCCCTATGAAAACTTTGTGTATCCACAGTATAAAAGACCCTTATGAAAACCTTGTGTATCCACAGTATAAAAGACCCCTATGAAAACCTTGTATATCCACAGTATAAAAGACCCTTATGAAAACCTTGTGTATCCACAGTATAAAAGACCCCTATGAAAACCTTGTGTATCCACAGTATAAAAGACCCCTATGAAAACTTTGTGTATCCACAGTATAAAAGACCCCTATGAAAACTTTGTGTATCCACAGTATAAAAGACCCCTATGAAAACTGTGTATCCACAGTCTAAAAGACCCCTATGAAAACTTTGTGTATCCACAGTATAAAAGACCCCTATAAAAACCTTATGTATCCACAGTATAGAAGACCCCTATTAAAACTGTAACCACAGTATAAAAGACCCCTATGAAAACTTTGTGTATCCACAGTATAAAAGACCCCTATGAAAACTTTGTGGGCAGTTTCTTGGGCCACCTATTGACAGAGGGGGAGACCTCACCATTTTACAGAGCTCTACTGGAGCCCAACATTGGCAGTGACTATGCTCCAACCACAGGGTAAATCACTTACTTTAATGTTCAGTGGTTAGATTATAATCTTTTGTTGTAGATGGGCAGAGGATTAGCATTCAGTTATTCAAACTGCAGGATAAATTGTAAATCAATTACTATAATGTTCAGTAATTAGATTATCATCTTTTGTAGTTGAGACAAAGGATTTATATAATTAGATGCTAACTGGAAGTTTATTATAACAACTTACTGTAAAAAAATATGTTAATAGTTAATTAACTCTTAAAGCCAAAGATTTAAAATTTTCTTTTATATATTAGCAATAGGTAATAAATATGAGTAGGGTAGGGCTGATTAGCATATTGCTAAATAAGTGATGTATCTATATTTTTACAAAAATGCCTAGCATAATCAATTTAAGTATGACCTTTTTGTAAACATAAGCACTTAGTTAAATGTATTTTTATTTAAATTTGCAAACATCATAGAAAGTTAATTGTTTACCAGTTATGGCTTGTAGTAAAAATAACATTTGCTGTGTTGGTTTCTAGAAGTCTTTTTGTAAACTTTAACTTTTGTTGTGTGTTTGTTAGAGGTAATGTATTTTCTGATATTTTAGCTATCAGTCAGATACCAGGGAGGCTGTGTTTTCTGTTGGGCTTTCAAACATCAAACCAGATGATGTTGAGGAGGTGCTTAAAATAATTGATGAAACTATTGGCAAAGTTATCAGGTTAGTTGGGATGGTTAGTTGTATCTTGACGAATAAACTATCCAGAAAGTTATCAGGTTAGTTGGGTTAGTTGTATCTGGACAAACTCGCATTGCATGGAGCATTTGACATTTTGTTCATGTGATTTTATATTAGTTTTTTTTTTAGTTTTAAGTTATCATGTAAGTTTTGCTTGATAATAGTGTCTTGACAAATTAATTTCATATTGAATCACATATAAGAAGCATAAAAAATATAAGGTTTTGATAGTGAAGCTTTTTAATGTATTTTTTATTTTGTTTTAGTGAAGGGTTTGACAAGAAAAGGATTGAAGCTTTCTTACACCAGATTGAACTGGGTAGAAAACATGAAACTAGCAACTTCGGTTTCAAGTTAACACAGGTAAGTTTATATTTTTTATAATGACAAGTGGGTAACTGGTATCTTTTTTTTTGGGGGGGGGGGGGGTGTTCAGAAGGAGGAAGTATTTTGTGTACTTTCCTTCAAACTTGCAAAGGTTTAATTTTCATTTAACATGGATTGGAGTTTGTCAAGGTGATTTGGGGGGGGGGGGGGGGGGGGTGGAGTGGAGGACAGGTGAAAATCGCTGAGGTCATTGGAATCACCAATTTGGTTTACTAGATTCAGTCAAAATTGAAAACTAGTGTACTGTAAATTGTATATCTCTCTCTAACCATGTCCAGGCTCTATACAACATTGACTTGTGTAGTATTAAAGTTGTGTATCTCTAACCATGTCCAGGCTCTATACAACATTCGACTTGTGTAGCATTAAAGTTGTGTATCTCTCTCTAACCATGTATAGGCTCTGGCCAGTGTTTGGAACCATAATGGTGACCCAGTTGAAAGCATGAAAATAGAAAGTATTCTGAAGAGGTTCAAAGATGATTTGAGAAAGAACCCCAAGTTTTTACAGGAGCAGGTCAAGCTGTTACTCAAGGTCGGGCTAAAATATCTTTTAGTTTTTAATATAATTTTACTTTCTTTCTTTTACTGTTCCATATTTGTCAATAATGTTTTTTTGGTTTAAAATTCAGCTTTATACAATATATGATCAAACTAGGGTTCAAAGCATTGCTTAACTAACTTAGCAAAATTGTTTTAAAACAATCGATCATTTTTCCTAATTACAATAGGTAATTAGTTGTTTTTTTATTTTTAAAATATATTGCTATATTTTTTAAATGGCTTATAAAAAAAAAGCTATTTAAGTCTTTTAATTAACCTTATTCAAAATGGCTAAGCTTATTCAATTTAAAAAAATGTGTGTAATGTTTGAACTAGCTTGATCGCTCTCTATGATGAGAAGGTAAAAACTGTTCTCTGTTTACACAGGACAACCCCCACAAGCTGACCCTAACAATGCACCCAGAAGACACCTACGCCAGCAAAAGAGACCAGAGTGAGAAAGACAGGCTAGATCAAATTGTTACCAAACTCAATGATGCTGAGAAGGAATCTCTGCTTCAGAGAGGTGACTAAACATGACAAAATATCAGTGTTTTATACCTTTTTTCTGTCTTTCTGTTGTGAATAGCTCTTTTGTACTGTGAGTTTTTTACTTGAAGTTGGTTAATGCGATAGAATGTTATAGTTCTTTTGTTATAACCCTTTTGTTTGTTTCTATGTCAAACTATTGCTCTTGGCTGGAAAGTTTTGTTCCTGGTAAAGAATTATGTTAACTCGGACATTTAAAATAGTTGCATAATTTCAGCTGGTTTATTATTCTATTACTAGTTTATATAGAAAAATTTGATAGGCCACAGTATTTACAATATGGACTTAGTGCTGCAGTAATAATAAGCAAATCTTACTTGGGTGCAGTACACAATATATTCGTTCTACTCTTAGGTCTAGAGCTCCAAGGATTACAAAACCTTAAAGAGGATATTTCATGTTTACCATCCTTGAAAGTCAGTGAGATCAGTAAGACAATCAAGCCAGAGGTGATAGAGATAAGAGAAGCAGGTGAGTACAGGTAGAGACGCTGGTAGTGGGGGGAAGGGGCAGGTGAGGACAGGTATAGAGGCAGGTAAGTACAGGCAGAGAGGCATGCAGTGGGGGAAGGGACAGGTGAGTACAGGTAGAGACGCTGGTAGTGGGGGGAAGGGGCAGGTGAGGACAGGTATAGAGGCAGGTAAGTACAGGCAGAGAGGCATGCAGTGGGGGAAGGGACAGGTGAGTACAGGTAGAGACGCTGGTAGTGGGGGGAAGGGGCAGGTGAGGACAGGTATAGAGGCAGGTAAGTACAGGCAGAGAGGCATGCAGTGGGGGAAGGGACAGGTGAGTACAGGTAGAGACGCTGGTAGTGGGGGGAAGGGGCAGGTGAGGACAGGTATAGAGGCAGGTAAGTACAGGCAGAGAGGCATGCAGTGGGGGAAGGGACAGGTGAGTACAGGTAGAGACGCTGGTAGTGGGGGGAAGGGGCAGGTGAGGACAGGTATAGAGGCAGGTAAGTACAGGCAGAGAGGCATGCAGTGGGGGAAGGGACAGGTGAGTACAGGTAGAGACGCTGGTAGTGGGGGGAAGGGGCAGGTGAGGACAGGTATAGAGGCAGGTAAGTACAGGCAGAGAGGCATGCAGTGGGGGAAGGGACAGGTGAGTACAGGTAGAGACGCTGGTAGTGGGGGGAAGGGGCAGGTGAGGACAGGTATAGAGGCAGGTAAGTACAGGCAGAGAGGCATGCAGTGGGGGAAGGGACAGGTGAGGACAGGTATAGAGGCAGGTAAGTACAGGTAGAGAGGCAGGTAAGTACAGGCAGAGAGGCATGCAGTGGGGGAAGGGACAGGTGAGGACAGGTATAGAGGCAGGTAAGTACAGGTAGAGAGGCAGGTAAGTACAGGCAGAGAGGCATGCAGTGGGGGAAGGGACAGGTGAGTACAGGTAGAGAGGCAGGTTGTGAAGGCGTAAGGAATCTCATAGAATACACTAACAACACATTAAGGCTAGTTATAACAGTCTCTTTTATTTTTCCTTTACAGTTCCACACATCAACCGGTCTACTTTCACCCCAACCTTCAACTGTCGTCCGCATTCATTTCTACACACCTCCTTTCTTTCGCTCACAACACAACCGCTGTCACTCGAACAGTCGTTTCCTGTGTACCTTCGTTCACTCCATACAACACACCCGGTCTCACGTCTTGCTGCAGGATACATGCACACAGACAGTGATCCGTCACATGTTTACACCTTTCATCCACATTACATCACCATACATGTGTATCATTCCCCATGTTTAACACTTGATGTAAATAAAAACTTGTATGTTTGCCACTTCTCAGGAGGGTCATTCATTCAAGCTTGCATCCAGCCCACCAATGGCGTCTCTTACATTAGCATGGCATCAAATCTAGAGACAGTCCCAGAGGATTTAATGCCCTATGTTCCACTGTTTTGTGACGTCATTACAAGGTAAACATACTAGATCACCTATTGTTTCATCAGAATTTATTTCTTTACCAATATCTAGATATTTAATAAAGTTAAATAAAGGGAATTGGTTTTTTTTTCTAACATCACATTTTTCTCAAGATAATACCAACATTTCAACCAGCACATGATTTTTCACAAGCCTTTTTTTAAAGTACATTTTTTTTATTTATGTTTTTTTCACTTAAGCATAGGAGCCAAGTCATAATTTTAAAACATATTTTTAGTAAACTTTTAATTAAATTATTTTATCCAATACCTAAGTATTGGAGCCAAAAACCCCATTTAAAACACCAGATTTTTTTCTTTCACATTAGTATTGGAGCAGGGGGACATGATTACTTATGGGTCTCTCAACAACAAGAGTTATACACAGGAGGCTTGAATGCTTCCCCTTTGATCGTACCCCACCACACTGATGATGGCCGTGTCCAAAGAGCTGTCCTATTTTCATCTTTTTGTTTGGAGAAAAACTTTCACAAAATGATGGAATTATGGACATTTATTATCAACAGGTAACTTTTGGATGTTTGTTTTTAATTTTTTTTTTTTTAAAGAGACTCTTGAATTGTGGTGTTTACTTCAAAATAAAAACTCTTTTACTCTTACCCTTTTTTTCTCATCCTAAATTTTTAAAACTCTTTTACAAAGTTGAATTCTAAAACTTAATTTAATTTAACATTGAGTTTAAATTGGGGTTATTTATAAAATTCAATTGTCTGATTTCAGATGTCTTTTCTGTTTTTTTTTTTTTTTAAATTATTTACATACATAGAAAATCATCAAAAATCTATAAAGATCTATAATGTATTTTATGAATTACCCATTAATTTTAACAGCCCACAATTTACACATCAAATATATGCCAACTGTTAAAAACCCAAAATCACCTTAAACAAACATTTATTTTTAATCTAACAGCCCTGACTTCACAACCTGCGAACTCTAAATACCTAAACTCACCAATAATACTAAAATATTTAATTTGAATTCAACAACCCTGACTTCACAATCTGCAAACTCTAAATACCTAAACTCACCAATAATACTAAAACATCTAATTTGAATCCAACAGCCCTGATTTCACAGACAGCAATCGCCTGTCAACACTAATCAGAATGGCTGCTAGTAACTTGGCCTCTAGCCTTTCAAACAATGGACACAGCTATGCTCTCTCCAGCGCTGCCTCAACTTTAAACATCACATCTTCTTTACATGAAACCATGTATGGGTTTTCACAGGTTGGACATTGTTTTCCTCTGCTAAATATTTAATATTAATGTAAATATTACTTCTAATTAAATTTGCTCATGTTATATTACTGACTCAGGAGTATATTACTGACCATGAAATATCTGACAGAGGAACATTACTGGTGTTGTGTGGTAGGGTACTTAAAGCTCATGGTTGCCGAACTGAAATGTCCAGTGTTCGAACCCCAGGGGAGAGGCTTAATAGCTTGTGACAGCATCTAAGAGAGACAACCCAAAAATCAAACAACTGCTGTGTTGTAGTTTGTTCTTAGATGGACAAAGACTATGGAAACAAATCCAAAAAAAGAAAAGCAGGCTGAAATCGGATTCAATGGCCTATATGGCTCTTGATAAGTTGACATTTAATAACTAATTATGTAGGAGGATTATCATTTCAACATTACAATTAAGAACAAAGAAGAACTGGCTCAGGAACATCTTAATGACTCAAGAACATCTGACTCATGAATATCTTACTGACTCGAGTCAGTAGCAAAATCAAAATGTAACAATTGTGTGCTTTACCATGTTTTCCCTCATGGACAAACTGGGAAGAGGTTAAAAAAATTCTTTCCTGTGTTTAGAAACATATTTGTATCATACATGACAGGCTTCAGTAAAATAAGACTTTACTTAATGATGGTCAAATCTGAAGTTTATGTCTTGCAGGTACAAACAATGAAAAATATAGCTGAAAAGGCAGATCTCAGCGACGTAACATCTAAGCTGCAATCAATCGGTGACGTGGTGTTAGACCAATCCTCCCTGAGGTAATAGCCATGCCTTAAGCACATACTCTTATTAAGTTGTGGTAATAGACGTCTTTTTTTTAATCCAGTTAACTGACTTGTTACCTAATTTAATTTTTTTTTCAACCATGCCAGGATTTCTATAAATGCCACACCTACAGCCATGGATAGGTCTGTTCAAGCCATCAAAACATTCTTGGGGAATTTGAAAGGAGAAGCTGAGATGACAAACATATTTCCAGAGGTACTCTTTGAAATTGGTCTATTTTAACATTTATTGTTTGTAATTTTTAAAATTTAAATGTTTTACTTTTATTCTTTCAAAATTGTAGCCTACAATTTTGACATTGATCTGTTTTAACATTTTTTGTTTAAATATTACCATTAGAGGTAAGTTAAACTGTAAGTCTAACGTGAGCCAAAAATCAGTTTTCAGTGTGAAGTCTTTTAATGGCATTTCATTACATTATAATATTAAGTTAGGTTTCTTTGCAAGTATTGCTTTTATGCTTTGATATAAGATAATGGTTTGGGTAAGTATGATGACCTTGGACCAGTGTTTGGTAGCAATCCTAGCAAAACATAGCTTCATTAAGTATTCAGTACTGATTTTTTAATATTGTGTCTTTTATTTTGGATTTCTAAAAAAGAAATTTCTTAGTGAAAATGAGTCTTTTAATTTTAGTGTAATCTACTTTCAGATTGACACAATCAAAGGAACTTCCCATAAAACACAACTAGAATTCCCATTTACAGTGAATTATGTTGCCAAGAGTTTTCCTGGGGTTCAGTACACACATAAAGACTACACACCGTAAGTCCAACTACTGTGCTGTCTTTTTGATTCTGTAAGAGATTTTTCTTTGTACAACTTCTATGCTGTCACTAATTGTGTTACAGATTTGTTTCTCTAACTGATAACTTGAAGGGTCATTTGTTTTGGCTACACTAAATGTACTTTTTAAGTTGTGATTAAAACAATGTTTTTTTTATGTCAGTGTGAAGTAAAAATTAAAATGTGTCTTTTATGTCTTAGATTAACAGTGCTTTCCAACCTCATGACTAGGAAGTTTTTACATAGAGAGATAAGGTAGATAACATTGTTTTGTTTAAATGTTTACACATAATTTATATAAACTATTTCCTTTTTTTTAATGCAATGATTTTGTGTTGCATGCTCTTTTAAATTATATTATCTAAATTATTATTTGAATTTTTTTTACAAAAATTCAGTTTTATTTATGTTCAGTTAAAAATTGTTCCACGCAACTAACATGAGTAAATCACAAAGTATCATATTTTCATTATTTATTTCATAGAGAGAAGGGTGGAGCATATGGCAGTGGTGCACAGCTTGGTTCGGGTGTCTTCAGCTTTTTTTCATACAGGTAACTTCCTTTTTTCATAGGGGTAACTTGTCTTTTTAATTCTCAGTGTTGATTTTAAAATTGTTTTACTATCTTTCTACTTCTATACATAACTTAAAATAATAAAAAACACACTTAAAATAAACAGTTTTCTTTTATTGATGATTTTCATGTTCAAAATTTGGCCTTGTATTGTCTTTTCATAGTAAATTTAGTTTTAATTTGCGAACGGTGAGAAACTCTTTTTTTACAACCACATAGCTATGTTGAAAGGAATTTTAGTAATGATGATGTTTTTGTTGTTGTTTAGAGACCCCAACAGCCTGAAAACTCTGGATGTCTTCAAACGTTGTGTGGAGTGGGCCAGCAAAGGAGATTTTACAGCTGAAGATGTAGACGAGGCCAAGCTTGGAGTTTTTCAAAAGGTATGCCTCTAGAATGTTTTCTGTATTTTATACAGAAGTGTATTTTTCTTTGTACACAGTTTCTTTTTTTTTTTTTTAAATAGAATTTCTCTTAAGTATTTTGTTTAAGATTGGTATTCTCTTTTTTTATATCAGTATATTTTCACCCCTTTTCATACAAGAAAAGTTAACATTTTATTGAAATTTTATCTAAAAAATTATTGGCATTGACAAACCTGAAGAATTTGACCATTTCAATCCTACACAAAATGTATCTTATGTTATAGATAGACAAGCCTGAAGAATTTGACCATTTCAATCCTACACAAAATGTATCTTATGTTATAGATAGACAAGCCTGAAGAATTTGACCATTTCAATTCTAGACAAAATGTATCTTATGTTATAGATTGTCTGTAGAATTTGACCTTTCAATCCTACACAAAATGTATCTTATGTTATAGATAGACAAGCCATTCACCATTTCAATCCTACGCAAAATGTATCTTGTGTTATAGATAGACAAGCCTGAAGAATTTCACCATTTCAATTCTAGACAAAATGTATCTTATGTTATAGATTGTCTGTAGAATTTGACCTTTCAATCCTACACAAAATGTATCTTATGTTATAGATAGACAAGCCATTCACCATTTCAATCCTACGCAAAATGTATCTTGTGTTATAAAGTCTTTTGAATTTGACCATTTCAATCCCACACAAAATGTATCTTATGTTATAGATAGACAAGCCTTTCACCATTTCAATCCTACACAAAATGTATCTTATGTTATAGATTGTCTGTAGAATTTGACCTTTCAATCCTACACAAAATGTATCTTATGTTATAGATTAAGTCTGTAAAATTCACCATTTCAATCCTACGCAAAATGTATCTTGTGTTATAGATAGACAAGCCTGAAGAATTTGACCATTTCAATTCTAGACAAAATGTATCTTATGTTATAGATTGTCTGTAGAATTTCACCATTTCAATCCTACACAAAATGTATGTTATGTTATAGATAGACAAGCCATTCACCATTTCAATCATACACAAAATGTATCTTATGTTATAGATTAAGTCTGTAAAATTCACCATTTCAATCCCACACAAAATGTATCTTATGTTATAGATAGACAAGCCTTTCACCATTTCAATCATACACAAAATGTATCTTATGTTATAGATTAAGTCTGTAAAATTCACCATTTCAATCCCACACAAAATGTATCTTATGTTATAGATAGACAAGCCTTTCACCATTTCAATCCTACACAAAATGTATGTTATGTTATAGATAGACAAGCCATTCACCATTTCAATCATACACAAAATGTATCTTATGTTATAGATTAAGTCTGTAAACTTCACCATTTCAATCCTACGCAAAATGTATCTTGTGTTATAGATAGACAAGCCTGAAGAATTTGACCATTTCAATCCTTCACAAAATGTATCTTATGTTATAGATTAAGTCTGTAGAATTTGACCATTTCAATCCTAGACAAAATGTATCTTATAGATAGACAAGCCTGAAGAATTTGACCATTTCAATCCTACGCAAAATGTATCTTATAGATAGACAAGCCTGAAGAATTTGACCTTTCAATCCTACACAAAATGTATCTTATAGATAGACAAGCCTGAAGAATTTGACCATTTCAATCCTACGCAAAATGTATCTTATGTTATAGATAGACAAGCCATTCACCATTTCAATCCTAGACAAAATGTATCTTATGTTATAGATTAAGTCTGTAGAATTTGACCTTTTCAATCCCACACAAAATGTATCTTATGTTATAGATTAAGTCTGTAGAATTTGACCATTTCAATCCTAGACAAAATGTATCTTATAGATAGACAAGCCTGAAGAATTTGACCATTTCAATCCTACGCAAAATGTATCTTATAGATAGACAAGCCTGAAGAATTTGACCTTTCAATCCTACACAAAATGTATCTTATAGATAGACAAGCCTGAAGAATTTGACCATTTCAATCCTACGCAAAATGTATCTTATGTTATAGATAGACAAGCCATTCACCATTTCAATCCTAGACAAAATGTATCTTATGTTATAGATTAAGTCTGTAGAATTTGACCTTTCAATCCTACACAAAATGTATCTTATGTTATAGATAGACAAGCCTTTCACCATTTCAATCCTAGACAAAATGTATCTTATATTATAGATAGACAAGCCATTCACCATTTCAATCCTAGACAAAATGTATCTTATGTTATAGATTAAGTCTGTAGAATTTGACCTTTCAATCCTACACAAAATGTATCTTATGTTATAGATAGACAAGCCTTTCACCATTTCAATCCTAGACAAAATGTATCTTATATTATAGATCACGGGTTCCCAACCTGGGGGTCGCGACCCCCCTGGGGGTCGCAAAGGGCTGTCTGGGGGGTCGCCAACTGGTATACTAAACCTTAGTAATTTGAAACAAAACATAAATATTTAGAAGAATTTTTTGAAATTCGGCTTTACTAACAACACTGGAAAGGGCTCAGAGAAGAAGCAAAGCATACTGTACAAAGTTGTTCTCAGTCACGAGTTTATGAAATCTTCAAAACTAAAAAAAAAGATATGGAGTTCTTTCGTCGGTATGAAGCTAGTTGCGGAACGTCAGAGACTTGATCGAACAGGAAAATCCCAAGCAAAAACAAACACAATAGGAGAAAATCTCATCAAACGCTGCATGTTGAAGATTGTAAAGTTAATTCTTACATGTCCGTAGATGTTAAATAACACATTTTTATTGAAATTAAGCTTTCACCATTGTTTGCTTTTCAAGTTGATAAATCAACAGACGTGAGTTCGTGTTCGCAGTTGCTGGTCTTTGTCTATATTCATTCAGATGATAGCAAAGAAGAGTTGCTCTTTTGTGAAGATAGCATGGAGCAAATAAATAGTGTTTTTTTTTTTAATTGGATGATTAAAATGGGTTAAAACGGCTGTGAGGGTTTGTACGGATGGTGCACCATCTATGTTTAGGTCAAAATCGGGCTTTCAGAAAGCAGAAAAGATTTAGCTCCCTAACCACTGCCCTCGCCAAAATCCATCAAGACTCCATTGCTGGTATAAGTGGTAAATTATATAAAATCTGGAGCCTTCAAAGAACTGAGCAAAGACCTGAATAAAGATCACGAGGTTCTGCTCTTCTACACTACAGTGCGCTGGCTGTCAAACGAATTGGTGTGAATCGTGTTTTTGAATTGAAATCTGAAATCAAATTGTTCTTAGAAATGCAAAGGAAACAAGACCTTTTGGTATACTTAAAACGACATAGAGTGGTTGGAGAGAGTATCATACCTAGCAGATGTGTTCGAACATCAACATAAGCATAACCTGAAGCTTCAGGGAAAATGAACGAATATTATCACTTTCCATGATTATCTCGGGGCATTTTTAGCAAAGCTGCAAAATCGGCGAAGAAAATAAATCTTGGAAATATTGTAAATTTGAGAAACTCTGCAGCGTGGTAGATGAATCTAATTGTGAGATAATTAAAATTTTGAAAGAAGAAATTTCTGGGCATCTTGAATCAAGTGAAAACGAACTGCAGCGCTATTCATCTGAGCTGAAAACAAAAAGAAACTGCATTGACGCATTATCCATTCTCTTCTTCCCTCGATGTTGCCAGCATTCCCGATGAATTACAAGATGAATTATTTGATTTATAGAATGATTCCGCGTAAGATAAAAAATGCAAACTCAATTTTGGTGTAGTATTCACCATTCATACCCAAACGTAAAATTGATTGACTTTTCGAGAATAGATTTTCAACACTATTTTTCGATTAAAAACAAAATTAAGATAATGAAATAGGTTGGCATTAACAAAAAAAAATACTTTAAAAAAAATTAACCGCGAATGTTAAGTGAATAGTTTGCAATTTTACTCATGGTATTAAAACAGTTATCAAGAGTAGTTGATATTGAAAGTCTACTAGAAAATTAATTTCCATACTAATTTCGGCTTTTTAATTCTATGGGGGTCGCGGGTCACTTAATTTTTATAAAGGGGGTCGCCACTCGAAAAAGGTTGGGAACCACTGTTATAGATAGACAAGCCATTCACCATTTCAATCCTAGACAAAATGTATCTTATGTTATAGATTAAGTCTGTAGAATTTGACCATTTCAATCCTACACAAAATGTATCTTATGTTATAGATAGACAAGCCTTTCACCATTTCAATCCTAGACAAAATGTATCTTATATTATAGATAGACAAGCCTGAAGAATTTGACCATTTCAATCCTACACAAAATGTATCTTATGTTATAGATTGACAAGCCTGTGCCTCCAGGCAGCAGAGGACAGACAAGGTTCATCTATGACATCTCTGATGATATGAGACAGAAAAACAGAGACAGACTTTTTAGAGTAACACCAGAGGACCTGAAACGTGTAACAAATTTGTAAGTAAATACAAACTTACATAAGTTGAAGAGGTGGGGGGGGGTATATTTAGGCAGTGGCTTTTTTTCCACATTGCCAGGTTGGTAAATCAAGCTTAAAATTGTTTAAAAATCCAAGCAGAATTAGTTTTAAAAAAGTAGGATTATTTTTGTTTTTTTTAAAATGTGTATACTACTTTTGTATGCTAGCTTTGTATTTTATTCTCCAATATATTTAATTAAATGTGTTATATTATGTTATTTCTTTTTGTTTGTTCAGGTATCTGAAGTCTGAAGGTATCCCTAATGGTTGTGCATTCCTGGGTCCCGCCAATGAGGCCGTGAGGGCAGACAAGGCATGGAAAGTTGTCAAAGAAGAAACTGCGAAACCTGCATCAGCGTAGCTAACAGAATCAAAGGCTAGTTTGACAGTTTTCAGGCACTCTTGTTGCTGATGGTGGTAATATAGAAATATGAAATAATTTGTGTTTTGTCAAATTGAGCATGTGCTAGGTGGTTTACTTTATTAATTAATAAGAACAATCATTAGCACATTATATATTTTTAATTTAAAAAAAAAATTAAATAAATATATTAAAAAATATCAAGCTCATTTGTTTTGACAAACAACTTGCATCACAAATATTATTTTCAATTTTTCTTTGGATAAAATAACATTTAAGTTGTAGGCTTACAATGTTTTATAACTTGTTCTGGTTTTGTTAACTGAGTTGCCACAAGGTATGGTTAACTGCTTGTAAAGATTGTCGATGCATTTATAAAATTTTGTATTTATTGAAAAAATTCAGAGAGGTTTGGTTCTAGATCTGTAATGGTTTGTGGCATTCAAATTAAAAATTCATTTTTACTCAGTTGCTGAACTAATTTAGTTACATTTTCAACTTTAATGTGAAGGATTTTAATGTTTTAAAATATTGTTTTGGTATATTTTCATCTTTTTTTTTCAAAGAATTATTATACATTAATCCTCCATAAGTAGAATAATTATAAAAACTGGCATGACACTAACCAGATGAAAAAATTATACAAAACAGCTTGTTAAATTGCCTTCAAAAGTTGACATGTGTTTAAGTAGTGTACTGACCACATGGAGATTTGTAAATATATTTTACAGTGCACAGAGATTTCATGTCTGATTTGTTCATTTGACATTTGTGTGATAAAAATTAAAATAAAATTTGTTAAAAACAATTACTGACTTTATTTTTATGCTCCCTACTTTGTTGTTAAACAGCCTGTTAGTGATACAAGAAATTGTACGTAACATCTACCCTGAAAGAATTATCTTCCCTTGCTTTGTGAATGTGTCATTTAATAACAATGATTATAAACAAATTTACCCAAAATATGTTACCACTGTTCTACTGAACACCTCAACAAAAATTGGAAATTTGTATAATCTACCATGAAATGGTGATCAACAATATTTCTACAAACAATTCAAGGTAACACCCAGAGAAACTTGGTAATTTCAAAGAAATATTTTTGTAAATAGAAAAATAAAAATTTTCTGATAAAAAACTTTTTAAAGAGTTACTGGTAATTTTAGCTTTCAAAAATTACATATATCAGTGAACGTTACTTTTAAAAAATGTACTAAAGGATTAAATATGTAATAATAGCATGTTATATATATATATATATATATATGATTGAAAGTGTTTCTTAGAGTTTTAAATATATATATATATATATATATATATATATATATGAAAACACAAAATTACATTAAATAAAAAAAATTGTATGCTAACAGAGACTGATAAAAGACAAGCAAATGTAACGATCTTTTCTAGCAGAAAGATTACACCTAGAAATATGGAATGTTTTTTTTTTTTAAAAACTAGACTATTATAGTTAGTGCCACTAAATGTCACGCAAAAATAAACGACTTCCTTTTTCCATGAACCATAAAAGAGAATGTTCTAAGAATAATAACTTACACCATTTGAGCCATAATCATTCTTAGATATTATCAAATATATTGAGTATCTAATATTCGGTAAATAATGATCTGATATATGTTACAGCAGTAGATAAAAAAGAGCATCAAAACCAGATAATTGGTTCTTCATAAACATCAAAAAATGGTAACATGCTGCCCTTCAAATTGTGAAATACATAAGTTGGCCTTTTGGAATTGGTGGTACATAGAGCAGATGAAGTAAAGTACATCTGTTTTTGTGATATATGAAGGCGAAGGGATAATGTGGTCAGTTCTGTGGTCAGCTACCTTAATTTTCTAATCTGTAAGGTGCTCATAAGAACAAGGTAGTCTCATTAACCTCAAGTCTAATATCTGAACTATAGTCTTTTGGGCTAGCAGTCATGGGCTGTATTTCCTGATCTTGCTGTTGTGGGTAATGTTTCACATTGTAACTTTATGATAATAAGACATTTGTGCAATTTGTAAACAAAGTCAAACTTGGATAGTCATAATTTCAAAGACTGCATACACATATTTTGTGTAATACTAATAACTAATTTTTTGAATGGTTGAAAAACTGCAACTCTGAAGTTATGGTTTTTGCTTCAGTTAATAAAATTCTTTAAAGCCATTTAATTATGTCGTTTAATCATTTGTGTTGAATTGAAAAATAGTTTTTACTTAATTTTTTTTTCATTTAACAATAAAATGGGTAAAATATCACTCTTCATGTACGCTAATGTATGGGTGACTGGAAAGAGGCACAACGAAAAGATGCACATTTTTTTTTTGCAGATTTAGGCTAAAGTGTAAAAAATTAGGAATTGTTTCTATGCTAAGTATATTAATATTAGTTATGTGAGTAAATCCTTTTTTTTTTTTAAATTTAACATTAGTTATGGCAATTAAAGTATGATTGATAATAAAATCAACATTTTTAATGAAAGTTTGCAAAACCCTCCAAAATTTAGTTCTAAGGGGAACCAGCAAGCAAGCACAAATGGACCTTTTTATCTTAAAAAAAACTTCTGGACAAAAGAAAAGGATGTTGGTTTATGAACTTTTATACATTTTTGTGTATACACTGAATAATGAGATTGTAAGGAACTGTATAATCTGGTGAGTGTTAATATTGTGAAAATTTAAGTCTTTCTTTTCTAAAACTAGAACTACATCAACTTCATAAATCAGATATTGGACATTAATTTTTAAATGACCTCACTAAAATCTAGTGTGATGGGACAGAAATGCTGGATACAGTGGTTTAAGTTCTGACATTTCAATGCTGCATTTATTTTTCTTTTAAGAAACGACATACAAAAAATATGAAATGTATTAAGATATGAATGCAAGTTTGGGGGCAATATGAATGGCATTATGGAAGGCACCGACGTCCCTTGCTGATTCAGGTTATTGGAGGACCTGGCACATATGGTATTTATTAAGCATTTTAAAACCAAGGTTTCCCATCTATCATGGTCCTATTGTCAGAAAATAGCTTGAGATCAATATTAAGACATGAGATACAAACCATTTCCATTTAATAATTAAAAAAAAAAAACACTGGTGGCCTTTGGTTTACCTGGTTGCATAAATATTAGGAAGGTTTCTTTGTTGAGTATTAACACATCTAACTGCACATGTACACAATATAACAAATAAACTTTTTGGGTGTGTAAACAACAAATTATAATATCAGTGCTGTTACCCCTACATCTATTAAATAATTACCTGACATTAAATAATTTACTTTTTTTTTTTTAAATGCTGAACCAAAACGGAAAAAAAAAATGTTACTTAACATTTGATACATTAAACAAAATGTAAATTGGCATTTTTTAAAAAATGAAATTTTAAATCTGAGATTGTTTTGTTATTTCTCTTATTGAACATGTGTCCTTTATTCATTAATAAATATGAATATACATTTCTACAAATTTTAATGGCAACATTATACCAACAACAGTATATTCTTTGATAACTTAGAACCTATACATATCACTCCCCTCCAATATGCTTTGGGTTTAGTTAAACCAAATAATTTGTTTCATTTCTTGCAACAATGGAACAGCAATGAGCAATGAAAACCAAAACAGTCTCTTAGTAGACACTGTGCAATAATTAGAGACTTAGCTCTTATGGAGCATGAAATTCATTGAGTGAAAGAAGAAAAAAATAATGACTCAAGATGGGGACCTTTGGCTTTAAATGTTAAAAAAATACAACCTCCATGTAAAGTAAAGAAAAGGTAGAGTGGTGTAAATTATGACAGTCACATGATATTTGTTAGCTGCTGAGTTTTCTTGTGGTTTTGTGGTTTTATCCTGTGGGCTTGTGGGAGGAACTATATTTTGATGATCTGTATTGACCTTTAAATTTAAAAAAAAAAATTATTTCTTAAAATTATCAACTATTAAATATTTTTAGTTAACATTTATGAAGATTTCAATTAGCAAATTTAAAAAAAAAAAAAAAAAAATTTGAATCAAGGTTTTTTTTTTTTTAATTTTCATCCCAATTATTCACTTGATTAATTTATAATAATATGTAGGCTAACACATTAATTAGAAAAGTGAATCTCAATTAAGTGAACTCATATGTTACCTGATCGATTGGAGTTGTGTTCACTTTTCTACACTTTCTGTTTTTGTCTTGCCTGCACTCCACAACTACTTCCTCATCACTGTCACAGATAGTACACATTGAACATTTTGGCAGGAGTGGGTATATAATATCTGAAAATATACAAGTTATTTATTATTCAATTAAATATTACATCATGGTAGGACCAGTTGTAATGCCAGAATAGTACCAGTTGTAACGGCTAGGGTTAGTTGGATGAGAAAGACATTTTTTATAAAATGTAATCAGATATATTAATTCAGGCCTACAATTGTCTTTCAGTTTTTAAAATAAGAGAGCACCCTTTCTAGACTTGATGGATGGTCAATAAGGCACATGAAATAGAGTCCCTTTAATTTTCAGGCTTAGCATAGCTAGTTTCTTTTTAAAAAGAATTTCTTCCAGTTCTTAAATTTTAGGTTCAATTGCACTACTTAGCATAACAACTAAATATTAGTAATGTAATTTTTCCTTGTAAGGATACGTAAATCTACAACCTAGGCGTAATCTAAAAGTCTACTATTCCAAGCAATTTACACTTATGACCCTAATCCTTAGATCTAAAGAAAGAACAGTTTTTGGTAATACAAACTAAATAAGATTGATCAGTTTGTAATATTCAAGGTTCAGCACCTCAAAACCTCAACAGGAAAAAAAATTTTTTTAACAAGGTCGTAAAAAATTTAATGCAAACTTAGGAGACTCAATATCAATTAGCTTTAATCGTACAAGAAATATATTATTGTAAAAGAAAATCATGTTATAAAAAATAGTGTTGCATTTCAGTTACGGCATGTTTTAATTATAATGGTTAATATAAATGACAAATGTGAGCAAGCAAGATATTTTATTTTATGCAAACATTTTCTAAATTATATTATAGAAAAAAATAATGATTTTGGGCTATACCTGAACCAGTTTGGTAAAAATTTTCAGGACATACATAAACAGCATCAGATTGATATGTGCAAGGTGATTTTTCAATGAGATTGTCTCCAGGATTCAACTTAGTGCACGCTTTACATCCTTCACATTGATGCAAAGTCTTTTTCATGTATGTTCCTGAAACAGATTTAAAAAAAAAAATAACAATCATTGTGCTAATTTTTAGCTAACTTATTTTTGTTTCATTAATGTTTTAAATGTGGGTTGGTGTGGTTGAATGGTAGAGCATTTGGCTGCTAGCTCAAAGCTTTTGAATTCTCATCTCGGAGAGGAATTGTAAGTGTGGGACATCCCTGAGTCTATCCAGCTTTAATGGGTACCTAACAGATATTAGTGAAAGTATAGGCAGCTGGCCATAATGCTGACCACACCATCCCTTCATATGCAGAGATCAAAAAAACATATGAACTCTACTTCATCTGCTCAATGGATCACTGGATCGAAAGAGAAACTTTAATTAATGTTGTAAACATTATGAATGGGTCAATTTGAATCTAAGAAACATGTTAACATATATATATATATATAACTATATATATATATATAACTATATATATAACTATATATATATATACAACTATATATATATATATATACATATAGGGGGGGGGGTGACACCAAGGCAAAAAAATAGCTAAATATATAGAGAAAAATGATAATTCCACTTAATTAAGTGATTAATTGAAGTGTTAAATAGTCTTTTAAGAGGTGCAAATTGAAAGTATGAGGGGGGTGTGCAAATTGAAAGGTTGAGGGGGGTGCAAAAAGGGTCGCTACGCCTCTGAGGGGTGACACCATTATGTGCCGCACTTGGTGACACCCGAACTCGCTACGCCACTGCCTATAGGGCGTATAATATATATATATATATATATATATATATATATATATATATATATATATATATATATATATATATATATATATATATATATATATATATATATATATTTATATTTATATTTATATTTATATATATATATATATATATATATATATATATATATCCCTATATATAAGCTGTCAATAGATGTCATAGGTTAAATGTTAAAGAAGGCTTACACACATAAATATATTAATTAGCCTACTGATACAGGTCTTATTGCTAAACCTAGTTACTAGTAGTATCTTTGTTTAGTACTTGGCTAATGCTAAAAGACCTAGTAACACTGCTAAGTAGTGTCTTAGTAGATACGTAATCAAGTAGTATTAGTAATTGAGCTACCTTTAAGCCAAGCAGATTATTTAATTAATTATACAACAAATCCAACTGAGCACCAACAATGTTTACCTGCTGGACAAGTATAACACTGAGACTCAGTAGCATCGAAATACTGTCCAGCCATGCATAAACCTGGTTCACATTCTGCTTCAGCTTCTCTCTTAACGTAGGTACATCCTTGGCAGACACTGAGACAATTTGTAAATATACACAGCAAAACTATCATCAAAAACTTTGTTCCTTGAAATCTAGAGTTAAAACTAGATACATGAGCTACTCTCTTGATTTGTTCTGGTAGGTCTTTTGTTCTCTTTGCTTTGCATTTAGATATAAATTTAGAGTCAGCCATCATTTTTATAGTATAGATCTAGATAATTCTAGATGTACTCATTTTCAGTAAAGTAATTAAAATTTAATTAAAAACTTGTATCGAATTATCTAAGTATATTATTAACTATGCCAACGTTGAGTCTGCCTACACTATAGTTCAATATCTACCCTGACATATGGCCGTCAATTAATTATTATGTATAGTTCTAGAACCTGGATATTTATATTGCCATGCTAACAGAACAGAGGAAATTCCCTTTCTTCTACTTTCTATGCCTAGGGAATCCCCTCTATTAAGGCGCAGAATATGCAGGCCACTCCCCCTACGACCATTAAAGGATAGTAGTGCCTTTTTCGGAGATTAATTGAATACAATTTAAAACACTTTCTGCTACACACACACGCACATAGTGCTTCTTTCAGACTTTTTTCTTTGGGGGGGGGGCTATTGATATTTTCGGGGGGCGGTCAACATTTTCCGGGGAGGGGGAGGAGGCGGACACTGATAAAAGTATATGATTTTTACATAAATTCTATTTCGTTCGGGGAGGGGGGGGTAGACTTTCTTCTGGGGGGGGGGGGGGGCTCAAGAGAAACTCTGCACACACACACACACACACACATCAAACACATTACTTAAACTACAAACTAAATATCACCGTAAATATCACATTTTTAAATTATCTATCGCCAGTAGATTCTAGATCTTTAGGCTACTTCTTGGCTTACACTAGGCATGTCCGATGCAGAGGCGTAGCGAACCTTCCCGGCGCCCGGGGACAAACTTTTTTCGATTTGCACCCCACCCTCAAGATTTCGATTTGCACCCCCCCCCTCAAACTTTCAATTTTGCACCCCCCCCCCCCTCAAGATTTCGATTTGCACCCCCCTCAACCGTTCAATTTATTTTTCCAACCCATTTTGGCACCCCCTAAGGTCGGCGCCCGGGGACATATGTCCCTACCCGCCCCTCCCCCCTCGCTACGCTACTGGTCCGATGCGCTTTTCTGTCACATGGTCTTTCCACTTAAGCGCATGTACATCTGCTCATTGTGTTGTAGGACCTGTTGGTTTCTTCCTGGCATCTCTTCGGGGAAGGGTGGGGGGGGGGGGGGCGGAAACGATCTGGAACTTATATAGTATATACTTTTATCAGTATCCGCCCCTCCCCCAAAAATATCAACGTTAGTATGAATCAAGATGATCAGCAAGTACATATGTCCTTAAAGAACATATACTGAAATACCTCGGATAAATTTATAATTAAAACAACATAAAAGCACTGTGGATAAGAGTAATACTGCCTTTGGTGGTGGAATAAGCAAACTTCAAATAAAGAATAACTACAGGTGTTTACTTTACAAACAGAATCATAGCTATTGAAACTGGTAAAACTGAATATTATTTTGCGATTACCAGTAAAGAGGTGTGTGAGGTGTGTGATCTAACCTATACCTTATCATTATGTTAAAAATAATCTTTAAGCAGAGGCGTAGCGACCCTTCCCGGCGCCCGGGGACAAACTTTCGATTTGCACCCCCCCCCCCCCTCGAACTTTTCATTTGCACCCCCCCCCCTCAAACTTTCGATTTGGCGCCCCCCTAAGGTCGGCGCGCGGGGACATATGTCCCCCCCCCCCCTCGCCACGCCTCTGTCTTTAAGGCAGAGGCGTGGCAAGGGGGGCGGACCGCACCGGGTGACTCCATTTAAGGTGGTGACACCAAGGCAAAAAATAGCAAAATATATAGAGATAAATGATAATTCGAGTGTTAAATAGTCTTTTAAGAGGTGCAAATCGAAAGTTTGAAGGGGGGGGGTGCAAATCTTCTTCTTTCTTCTACTTCGTTCTTAATTGAGAATATGGTGGAGGATTTAGACAAGTCCAACTTCGTGAATAAACCGGACTGTGGTCTCCAGATCAGCAGGCGCCCCATATAATTTTTCCCTGAGTGGGGTGAGCAGGGGCCAGTGTCTGACTCGCGCCTGGCTATACAAAGAACATTCCTGAAGGACGTGCTCCGTATTTTCCGGGGCCTTGCCACAAGGGCATATTTCGCCACACCCAATTTTTAGTTTTTTATGCATGTGTTGATTTAGTCTAGAAGGTGGAACTAATCTCATGACAAAGGTATCATTTTTAACACGAGAAAATACTAGCAGGATGAATATTTAAAAATATTTATTTGACAAAAATTATGAACATATTTAATTTTTGTGTATTCGTTACAAGCTAGACATATTAACACTACCACGTGACCGGGTACCCTTGTCAGTTCCACACCCCAGCATGTGAAAGAGAATCTTCCTAAACTTGTTGTTGAGTATGACGTAGATGAGAAAGTTGACCGCGCTGTTGGCGTAGGAGCTGGTCAATACAAGACTGCCACACATCTGCTCCACATCCGCGTCTACAAAAACACCCTGAGAGACAGCGTAACGGAAGCGGATAGCCTGGGTCAACCCGAACACTAAACACACCGTCAACAACATTTTGGTCGTCCTTAATGAAGACGCTGAACCCGATGACGTCATTTTTCGACGCTGTCGTTGTATGGCTACAACCTTGACCAAAATGGCGGCAGATCCTAATAATATGAATAATAGCTGGACGTAGCTAGACAGCCAGAACATGAACGTGTCAAGAATTGCTTCCTGTTCACTGTAGTGAATATCGTACGTAGCCAAACAGGTAACGCCGTCATTGAGACTGATGTACGCAAATTCAAATAGTTTAACATACATGAACATGTAGCCTATCCAGAATAGGTATAAGCATACGGACACAACCCAAGCCCATTTTGATGTGAAAATTACAGAAAATTTTAAAGGGAAGAAGACGGCAAATAATCTCTCAATCGTTATGACAACACACAAACAGTTACTGATGCTTATACCGCTGTAGGTTATGATGAATATAGCTGTTGAGATGTACAAGATTGTTTCCGCAAACAGAGGGTCCGCGCATGCGTACTCCAAATAATCGCTACCAAGTGGTATGTGGCTGGGGAACTGGGATAAGATTTTGTAGACGTCAAACGAGCCTAGAAGAACGCAGACGTCAGCGATAGCCAGGTTAAATAAAAACACGTTGGATGGTTTTTGAAATCCGCTCCGTTTTAGAACGGCGCAGTTGATTAGATTTCCCAGAATTCCAAGCACGCCAATAATCGGATCTACAACAACAGATGAGATCCATTTCAGGGATATGCGGATATTTCTGTTGGGAGTTGCCACCGGTGTGGATATCTGCTGGGTCGTGTTGTTGGTGTACGTGGATGATGTTGTTTCGTTATCCATCTCAAGAAACAAAACATTATTCGCTTCTTCAACCAGATGAGTTTCCGTTTCAAGAACCGTCTGATTGTCTGCATTAAAAATTAACTGAATATCTGCTCCAAGACCTATCTGATTATCTGCTTCAAGAAACGTCTGATTATCTGCTTCAAGACCTATCTGATTATCTGCTTCAAGAACCTTCTGATTATTTGCTTCAATACCTATCTGATTATCTGCTTCAATACCTATCTGATTATCTGCTCCAAGAACCGTCTGATTATCTGTTCCAAGAACTATCGGATTATCTGCTTCAAGAACCGACTGATTATTTGTTTCAAGACCTATCTGTTTATCTGCTCCAAGAACCGTCTGATTATCTGCTTCAAGAACCGTCTGATTATCTGCTCCAAGACCTATCTGATTATGTGCTCCAAGACCTAACTGATTATCTTCTCCACCGTTCGTCCCCTTAAGCCCTGCTGTCGACATAGATCGGATCCAGCGGTCTGTAATGACGCCGTTACAAACAGACGAACTAACGCTGGAGCTGTTGTTGATTATGTTACGTCCCACATTGGTCACTTGACTGTCATCCTGTCCGGCTGTCTTCCCCAACAGGCCCACAGTCGTGTCTTGAGGTGGCGGATGTTCTATGACCCTGGTCCAGTTGCTGGGACCGCCTGTCTCCGTCAAATAAACACTGTCCACATGGACATTCTTGGAGGCAAATTTTACGTCAATGACGTCACCGGCGAGCAGGCAGATCAAATGTGAGAAGACAAAAGTGAAATACATGGTCGATTCAGTGTCACGTGGTACCCTGCCGCCTGGCATGATGACGTCATACAGTCAGCTCAGGTAAAAATAAAGTCCCAGCATGACTTGGGATGATATTCAAAATAGCTCTATACCTGACTTAGTTTCACATATATATATGTAGGAGTGTAAACTCTTTACTTAAATGTAAAACTCTTACTAAACTTTTGTTTAGTTTTAAATATAAATATTTTTTCCGATGATAAATCTAAAGTTATATTTCACTGGATTTTTTTTTAAATAGATCAACGTTGTCATTTGATGATATAAACACTTAATTATATGTATTTAGAATAGTGTTTTATATTGTTTTGAAAAAAGAACAACTTAAATAGTGGAAAAGGCCGTTCCTATAATTTGACAAAACACCACGTTGGGAAGAAACTGCGCCACAAAAATACTGCTGTAATATAGGTAATGATGTACGTTCTCCCTTGTAATTATAAAATTTACAGCCGAACAAATAACGACAAAGGATGACATCACATCAATTTTAAAATGTTTGAAGTGTGTGTGTGTGTGTGTGTGTGTGGTGAGTGTGTGTGTGTGTGTGTGTGTGTGTGTAAATAGTAATTCTAATCATACATTACTTTCAACGATACTTAAATGTCATTACAAACTGTTTAGAAACAATACAGTTGTCTAGTTGACGTACCTATGTATCATTACATTGAGTGGGGTTTCAGGGGTCGGGCGGATGAGGTATCAGGGGTGGGGGCGGGTGGTATAAGGATAGGCTGATTCAAATGTTCATGAACGGAAACTGAGCTTGCAACATGAACAAAGAATGTGACAAGAGAATTTTTGTTGATAGAGCTAGCAGTTTTTTGTCAGTGGTTCAATTACATCAGATAGCGGCACTTTATATTATTCATATCAATAAAATTGTACAGATGATTTAGTCTATGTAGAGATTTTATATGGTCTCTGTTAGTCAGGGTAACGTGTAAAAATTATTTGGCGCTATTATACACCCCCCCTCCTTATATATAGGCTGTATTGTATAGCATGCCTATTTGTTGAACTATAGCAGGGGTCGGCAACCTTTTGAAGCGGAAGAGCCAAAAGTTACAATTTTCAAAATTTCTCTGGTTTTAAAGAGGCACTAACATTTTTTTTATTTCAAATATTTTATTTTTTTATTAAGGTTATTAGTATTTGTGCAAGGAGCTGGAGAGCCGCATCTTGATATCAAAAGAGCCGCATGCGGCTCGCGAGTCGCAGGTTGCCGACCACTGAACTATAGAAATGTTAAGTGAGGTGGGGAGGGTACAATTTTATATTTTTGTGTTATATAAAAAGTCAATGATCGCTGAATTCTAGAAACTTGTATAAAAACGTCAGACGTTGACAAAAGTAATCGTCTATTCTGTGGAAGTTGTGATGTCTCTCGAGCTACACCCAACAACATCCTTAAGGTATGTGTCTTCAATCAAAGTTACATAGGACAGCCACTTCGAGGTATTTGGTTATTTAATCTTTACATCATACGGTCTGCAATTAACGTTTACAGGTTAATTTTATAGTGTAGAATACAGCAGTATTTATGATAGCATTTATTAAATAACTTTGTTTATAATTTTAATATTTTTTTTGTTTGAAATTTATTTTATTAAATTTCTTTGTGTGTATTGATTACTCTTTGGCTGATAAAATTCGACAAAACTCAAACCGACAAAAAAACGCTGGAACTTTCTCACTTATTTTATTGCAATATGCAGAGAGATAATATTCACAAAAATGTGTAAAGTTTTTATAAATTCGTACACAAATCACTTACTTAATCAGATACGTTTAAGGTCACAAAAATTGTGTATAGTTTTTATAAAATCGTAAACGAATCGCAATTGTTATCATCTAATAGTATTGTCTTGGTTAAGCGAGGTCTTCCATAAATGACGCCAAACTTCTAAGGGGGAGGAGGGGTTCGAATTTTGTGACGATGTGTGACGGACATAGTTGGGAGGCTAAAATTCGTTGTAAAGGCGTGACGTCATTTATGGCCGACCCCTTACACCAAACAGCACTTGTTGACTTTGATAATTTTAAAAATAAAAAAAAGTAAAATAATATCATTGCCTGCAACTATCTCAGATCATGTTTATAAACAGAGCTTCACATATGCCAGCTCAGGCGCCTACTATATCATCCAATTACAGGATACATTTTCAGGACAAAATTAGAGAAACGAATAGTGTCTTAATATATTCATTGAATATCAAAATCTGTCAGATACTTCATAGTCATCACCAGTAGCGTACGCAGGGGGGGAGCAGGGGGAGCGGCCGCTCCCCCTCTGGCCATTTTCAGCAAAGTGGCGCCTTTTTGGAAACTTTTTTAATTCAAAGTTTTAAACAATGAAATTTGTTAAAAAAATATTTTTGGTCGGCACATTTATGTAAATCACAAGATTTCTCTTCATGCAGCAATTAAGCATTATTGTACTAGTCTAGTAGTGTCTACGATTACAACACGTATTAACAGCTGCATCATTTTGCCATTCTAAAAATAACCATTACGATGCATTGCAATGTTTAAAAAACCTCTACGGGTAGTACCACTTGGCAAGAGGGGTGTTAAGTTTAAGGCAACTGTATAATGTTTTTGCGTACGAATAATTGAATTAGAAAATGTTATATATAAAACTGCACACAATTACTTTATATATACAGTTTGAATCGTGTGATTAATTAAAAAAAATACAATACAGAAACAAATACAACTGATGTGGCACCTCTATTTAAATTTACTTATGAGCAAACTGCGTAGTGGTGGGGAAATTTTGACAAGGTCAACAACGTCATCACGATGAAGTAGTAGTATTCTTACAGTTTGGGCGATAGTGATTACGATTACAAATTGTATGAAACAGTTACAACCCCCTCCCCCATGGACCCCTCTGTAAAAAAATATTGTCATAATACCACTGCTACTTATTTAAATCTATTTCTGTAATATATATCTGTGTAATATATATTTGTGTAATATATGTATGTTTAGAACAGTCATCTAAAAACTGACGCTATGTTCACTCTGAGTTGGTTATCTCCCCCCCCCCCCCCACACACACACATACACACAAACACCACCACAATTGTGTAGAGCGATGTTAATGTCACACCTAGGTATACACTGGGTTGGATAATTGACCTAAAGTGACCGGACAGTGGTGAATGAAGTTGAACCGACCCCCCCCCCCCCAACCCACCCCGGACTGATCTGTTAAGTACATGTAGAAAAACGCGTAATGATGTACCAAAGTACCATGCCGCCAGAAAATTAGCTTTTTAAACGTAAAACTCTGTGAATATTGTTTTTGCAATTACCAGTCAAAAGGTGTGTGATCAATACAGTGATCTAACCCATACCTATCACTATGTTAAAAAATTACCTTTAAAGAACTCAAAGAAGCAGTAGTTAATTAAAAATATTTGATCTGTACAAAAACATCGATATTTAGTTAAATGTAGGCTGTTATTCCGAATGTTTTTCTATTTTATCGAAAAGCGTGGTTTTAAACCAACTCTGATTTTAAAAACTTTCTTTATGCTGTAATGCTTTAGCATTTATAATGACGATATATTAAATTCTGATTATAGACAAAAACATTTTGTAAACACGAATAGTGTAAAAGAATTTCATTATATTCTAAAGTAATTATTTATTTGTTTTGACGTTTATAATTAAATGTGTAGATATATACATATTTATAGTAAGAGAGTGATTATTTCCCATATTTCACTTGTCTTAAATAATTTCCCAGGAATTATTATGTAAGAATTTTTTTTACAAGAATTACAAAACAGATTGTGTTACGTTCATTGTTTTTGGTTGTTGTGTGTGTATATTTTTTTTTGTTTAGATTGATACAATTTTTGTTTTGTCGGCCTACATTGTATGTTTTTTCTTATTTCTTCAGAGTGCTACTTTCAATTTATTTTACATCATAGCGAAGTAATGACATAAAGCTAGTAATTATATATATATATATATATATATATATATATATATATATATATATATATATATATATATATATATATATATATATATATATAATACACGTATATAGAACGTGTTCAAAATTCGGCGCCTTTTTTGCTCTTTTCGCTCCCCCTACAACGAAAACCTGGATACGCCTCTGGTCATCACACTTTCTGACGTACTATGAATGAGGGCAGTGCTTACTATTTTGACTTGACATTGATAAACAAAAGCTCCATTTTATTCCAGCTCATTGGATTTCACGTAGATCTATGTATTTCAATTTATTTCCATTTATTTCTATTTATTTCTATTAATTCAATAACGGTAACAACAGTAGTCACGGAGGCTTTTTTCACATTGGCTTTTTATAAAACTAAAAACAAACAAAAAACAACCCTTAATAACAACATTTTAGTTAAGAAAACATGATAACAACATTTAAATTAAAAAAGCAATTTTACAAGAAATAGACAGTTCAATGTGTCCTGTGTATTTACTATACAGTAAGTAGATACTGTCTGAGGAATAACAACAACAATTTTACATAAAATGTAGATCTATAGTTACTTCATTTATTCGGTTAAAATTCTGAATATTTGCTTTGATATTGTTAGTTTCTGATACTACTCATATCCCTAATCCACCCAATTATTAACCTCTAGCCCCACTACTTAACCTTAACCTTTAGCCCTAGCCCCCCACCCCCAACCCCTAAGCCCTGACGCGTAACCATAAGTAAGATATAAATAATGCAATACAAAATTAATACTAGGACCTAATGCCATTTGAACTAATACAAAAATGTATTAAATAAAAAGTCTTCTTTTTAAATATTCAAAAGCATCTATGCTGATAAATAGAAGCTAAATATAGAGGTAATAAGCACATCCAGAAAAGCAATGAGCAAAAATAAAATCCACTCCCATAGCAGTCCGAATATATATATATATATATATAATATGTTTGTGTGTGTGTGTGTGTGCATACACATTTTTTTCAATTTTTTATGTTTGCAAATGGATCATAATTATAGTTGGCCTACAACACAGATACAGATGATAAACATTGTGATGATCCGAAGCCATTTTGTTTTTATTTGTGAGGCTCCATTTAAATGCTGCGTCTCGGAGCTTTCTGTATTGCTTTGGAGCTCAATGGGCATCTGAAGAAAAGTATCAAAACATATATATATATGTATGTATGTATATATATATATATATATATATATATATATATATATATATATATATATATATATATATATATACATACATACATATATATAACGTGTGTGTATAATGTGTAGATAAATATAGATATATGTGTATTATTGTGTATAGATTATGAACAGTAACAGAGTAAAAAGTGCCATTCAACATACAATGGCCATCAAATTTGCAGTTCGAGCTTGTTCAATGCACACCGTGTCTTTGTTCTGAGTGCACGGTTCAGCAACGCCAGTGAACGGACATGATGAACACTCGGTGCACTGAGGTAGATAGTCGTAGATCGGGTCTAGGGAAAGACAGAGAGAAGGTCTTTAAAATAATAAATTTAGTTACCCGTAAATACAGTATAGGCGAGTGCCATAAATTAAGTACGTTAGTTAAAACTACGACTGAGTATTCCTAAAAAATTGAAAACGATAAATTGTTTTTTTCACTTTGAACAAAAACCTACCCCCTCCATCACTCCTCTATCCACCCTCGCCCCTCCCTGCAAACTTCTAATTTAATATTGCCTGAGCAATCAAAATGTTGCTGGGCATTACTCATTATCTTGGATGGTGTGGTCGAATGGTAGAGCACACTGCAATTCACCCCGAAAGTTTCGAGTTCGGTCTGTGAGTCGACCCAGCTCTAACGGGTACCTGGCTCAAGCCACTAAAACAGCTGAACTCTATCTGCTCTCTAGACTACAGTTCCTGACAAAACAATATGTTACATCATCATCTGGTCGTACCGAATCCTATGCAATAGAAATTGTGTGGACAGCCCAACACTGTATCCTTTGTCCGATTGCACGCGTGAATGACCACCGCCACGTCCCCGGGCTCCAGGGTAGTGCAGGGCTGGCAGCTCAATGCTCTGTGGTCAGTCTCCTCCATATAGGTGCCTGTGATAGAGAGAATGTTGACAACTTAGACACGTTTTTATAAAGTGTGGCCAGTCTCCTCCATATAGGTGCCTGGGTTAGAGAATGTTGACAACTTAGACACGTTTTTATAAAGTTTGGTCAATCTCTTCCATATAGGTGCCTGTGATAGAGAATGTTGACAACTTAGACACGTTTTTATAAAGTGTGGTCAGTCTCCTCCATATAGGTGCCTGTGATAGAGAATGTTGACAACTTAGACACGTTTTTATAAAGTGTGGCTAGTCTCATCCATATATGTGCCTGTGATAGAGAATGTTGTCAACTTAGACACGTTTTTATAAAGTGTGGTCAGTCTCCTCCATATAGGTGCCTGTGATAGAGAAAATGTTGACAACTTAGACACGTTTTTATAATGTGTGTTTAGTCTCCTCCATATAGGTGCCTGTGATAGAGAATGTTGACAACTTAGACACGTTTTTATAAAGTGTGGCTAGTCTCCTCCATATAGGTGCCTGTGATAGAGAATGTTGACAACTTAGACACGTTTTTATAAAGTGTGGCCAGTCTCATCCATATATGTGCCTGTGATAGAGAATGTTGACAACTTAGACACGTTTTTATAAAGTGTGGCTAGTCTCATCCATATATGTGCCTGTGATAGAGAATGTTGACAACTTAGACACGTTTTTATAAAGTGTGGTCAGTCTACTCCATATAGGTGCCTGTGATAGAGAATGTTGACAACTTAGACACGTTTTTATAAAGTGTGGTCAGTCTCCTCCATATAGGTGCCTGGGTTAGAGAGAATGTTGACAACTTAGACACGTTTTTATAAAGTGTGGTCAGTCTCCTCCATATAGGTGCCTGTGATAGAGAATGTTGACAACTTAGACACGTTTTTATAAAGTGTGGCTAGTCTCATCCATATATGTGCCTGTGATAGAGAATGTTGACAACTTAGACACGTTTTTATAAAGTGTGGTCAGTCTCCTCCATATAGGTGCCTGTGATAGAGAAAATGTTGACAACTTAGACACGTTTTTATAATGTGTGTTTAGTCTCCTCCATATAGGTGCCTGTGATAGAGAATGTTGACAACTTAGACACGTTTTTATAAAGTGTGGCTAGTCTCCTCCATATAGGTGCCTGTGATAGAGAATGTTGACAACTTAGACACGTTTTTATAAAGTGTGGCCAGTCTCATCCATATATGTGCCTGTGATAGAGAATGTTGTCAACTTAGACACGTTTTTATAAAGTGTGGTCAGTCTCCTCCATATAGGTGACTGTGATAGAGAAAATGTTGACAACTTAGACACGTTTTTATAATGTGTGTTTAGTCTCCTCCATATAGGTGCCTGTGATAGAGAATGTTGACAACTTAGACACGTTTTTATAAAGTGTGGCTAGTCTCCTCCATATAGGTGCCTGTGATAGAGAATGTTGACAACTTAGACACGTTTTTATAAAGTGTGGCCAGTCTCATCCATATATGTGCCTGTGATAGAGAATGTTGACAACTTAGACACGTTTTTATAAAGTGTGGCTAGTCTCATCCATATATGTGCCTGTGATAGAGAATGTTGACAACTTAGACACGTTTTTATAAAGTGTGGTCAGTCTACTCCATATAGGTGCCTGTGATAGAGAATGTTGACAACTTAGACACGTTTTTATAAAGTGTGGTCAGTCTCCTCCATATAGGTGCCTGGGTTAGAGAGAATGTTGACAACTTAGACACGTTTTTATAAAGTGTGGTCAGTCTCCTCCATATAGGTGCCTGTGATAGAGAATGTTGACAACTTAGACACGTTTTTATAAAGTGTGGCTAGTCTCATCCATATATGTGCCTGTGATAGAGAATGTTGACAACTTAGCAGGGGCGGAACTACAGTGCCGCCAGACCCCGCAATGCGGGGGGGCCCACGCCATTTAGGGGCCCAAGGCCGCCCATAATAATTATTTTTATAGTTAAAAAAAAATAATTTTCTTGCATTTTTGACTTGATGGTTGTTTTTTATAAAGAATATTGTAGCTGCGGTTGGATTATCTTTATTCTATAGACACCATCCCACACTCTTGTATATTATTTTTCCCTTTGTTTTTAAACCCTAGTGAAAGCCGAGTCATCTTTCTTCTACAATCAAACTTATCAAAGATAAGCAAACTTTGAAACCACTTCCATGACTTATTTCCCTTTTTAAAAAAATCAAACAGGGGTGCTCATAAGCTCCTTTTAATAGATTTGTACTAAACAAAATAAAAAGCAATTACCTCTTTTAATTATTTTTTTTTATAAAGTACTTACTAAACTTACTAAAGAATGACACTGTATAAAAAAGAAATGTATTTAAAATTAATAATTTAAATACAAAAAAATAAATAAAAAAATAAACATAATACGAGACACCATTACTTATTCAAAGCTTTCATATTTTATAATCTTTTGATTGAGAAGGGGTCAGAGGTAGTATACTAGAAAATTTGTATTTTGTGAAAATCAGTTTTATCTTATCTTAAGAAATAAGATAAAACTGATTTTCACAAAATACAATAAAGCACTTAGATGTACACACATATTTTGACACGATGTTGTAATTTGTTTTAATTGAAAAAAAAAACTTTTTTTTTCCCAACTAGAACAGGCCAGCAATGAGTAACATATATTCGTATTTTGTGTTTATATATATATATATATATATATATATATATATATATATATATATATATATATATATATATATATATATGGGGGGCCCTAAAAGTTTTTTTGCGGGGTGGCCCTTTTTTTCTAGTTCCGCCACTGCAACTTAGACACGTTTTTATAAAGTGTGGTCAGTCTCCTCCATATAGGTGCCTGTGATAGAGAAAATGTTGACAACTTAGACACGTTTTTATAATGTGTGTTTAGTCTCCTCCATATAGGTGCCTGTGATAGAGAATGTTGACAACTTAGACACGTTTTTATAAAGTGTGGCTAGTCTCCTCCATATAGGTGCCTGTGATAGAGAATGTTGACAACTTAGACACGTTTTTATAAAGTGTGGCCAGTCTCATCCATATATGTGCCTGTGATAGAGAATGTTGACAACTTAGACACGTTTTTATAAAGTGTGGCTAGTCTCATCCATATATGTGCCTGTGATAGAGAATGTTGACAACTTAGACACGTTTTTATAAAGTGTGGCTAGTCTCATCCATATATGTGCCTGTGATAGAGAATGTTGACAACTTAGACACGTTTTTATAAAGTGTGGTCAGTCTCCTCCATATAGGTGCCTGGGTTAAAATATGTTGTCAACTTAGACACGTTTTTATAAAGTGTGGTCAATCTCTTCCATATAGGTGCCCGTGTTAGAGAATATCATGTCAACTTAGACATGTTGCATTTTTAGAGTATATATTTTCAACTTAGTCATAATATATTGCTTTTTTTTAGAGAATATGTTGTCAACTTAGTTCTATGCTTTTATAAAGTGTGGTTATCCTCATAAAGGTGCCTCTGTTAGAAAATATTTTGTAAACTTGATCCCATTTTTTTGTTCTTCTAAAGACGGTAAAATGGTTTTACCGCCATCTTGCCATCTATAATTATATATATATATATATATATATATATATATATATATATATATATATATATATATATATATATATATATATATATATATATATATATATATATTTATATATATTCTTCTAGGATCAATACATAGTATTAATACATTACTGCAAAGCTAAATTTAGATACGTAGACCCTCTGTCAACCTCACCCACCATCGTCACTTACCCTCGGGACAATCTTGGCACCATCCAGTTGCCTGCTGATAGAATTCCCCAGAATGACAAGGTCCTTTGTCGTTCGTCACTGGACTGAGCGCTTCTGCCACCAAACGACCGGCAGACGTGAGCAAGAAGAGACACCACACCACGTGACCTGCTAACCTTGACATTTGCATTCCTCGCTGCTCACGTCTTGCGCGTGCTGTCATTTTGACTCCACGTTCGAAGCTCACATTTCAATGTCTTTCAGCTGAGAAAATCACACTCAAAGAAATAGACTGTCTAAAAAAATTGCAAGCGTAGATCCTTCGTTTTGTAGTCCAGATATCAATATTTTTATTTCATCAAATCTAAGAGCCAATGAAACAATTTTGTAGGTTCATTGATGAATTAATTAATGGTAAAATTTGCGTATTTCTTTGAGATCTTTTTTTTCAATAGAAAATGTTTTAAAAATCAAAGTTTTTTTATCCTTGCAAAAGTTTTCAAATTGTAATTCTTGTGAATTTACAGACCTCGTAATAATTTAGGTCGCGTGGATGTTCGAATAGCAGTCTGTTGGTGTTGGCGAAGAAAAATTTACTTGAGAGACTGCTAAAAATCACGTGATAGAGGTCATGTCTAGTCAAAGATCCCGAAGATGTTGAAATTCTTTGTTTCTGATGATAAACGAGTTTTAAAGCTCAAAGTAAACGAATTGGCTTTAAAGTTAAAGAATTTCTGTATGTCGAAGAACAATAACTCTAGCTCAATAGTTGGAATAGAATAAACACATTGTGTTGTCTTGATTCTTCCCTTTTAGAATTTTAATTTTAAATACGAATGTTTATAAACATAATCTTGTTAAGAAAACATTTTTAATTTTCAAGATTTATTTTTTAAAACTATTTTTCTAATTAATATTGAATATTTGAAAACTATTTCGCTTTTAATTTTTGTTTTGTTTTGATTGCAACAAAATACATTAACTTCTGATAATCTTATAAGGTCTTTCCAGTTCTAATTTTAAACTGTCACATACAAAAACTAACTTTAGTCATTAAAGTAAATAGGATGTAGTAGTTTTAAAAAAACCATAAAATTTAGAAAGTTGAAAAAAAAATTATGTAATAAATTTAAAAAAATAAACATACAAAAACTAACACATGAGGTAAACCAAATAGTCTATAGTGTATAAACAACGCCAACCTTCAACTAGATCTGCAACCACGAATCTTTTTAATCTTCAGATTTTTAGTGTTACCCTGGACACGCAACATTAAATCAACCATTATTTTTAGCTCGTCATAAATATAATGTACTTTAATATTATACAACAGTCTATCATACTATCATAAGAAGTATTTAAAAAATTCACAATTCTCACGTAAATTATCCATTAGATTAACAATTTAGAAAGAATATTTCTTCAACAGGAAGATAAATACAAATATATCACTTAAACTTACATGTCATCGGAAAAATCCGATTCAACTGCCATGTAATTTTTTAACAGGTGAACAACTTTCCACCTGCTGACGTCAGAAGTTGAGGGTTAAAATCTGGGCAACGTCAAAGTTTAGTTTCTATAACAATAAAGAATGTGGGGTAAAGAGTGGGCCTAAATCTTGATGGCTAAAACACACCAGAAGACATGGCCACGAAAAGGTGTGAGGCAGTGAGGTAGGGGGTGGGGTAAGACGACATGACCTCACTGAAAAAAACGCAGAACCCACAAATTGTGCTATTGTGTTCACACAATTAATTGTCCGTAAAAAACATTTTACTTTAAGCTAAACTAGAGTTGTTAGATTTCTGCCTAATACCAATTCGCCCCCCCCCCCCTTTTTTTTTCTTTTCTCCAAATAAAATAGACTAGGCAAATAGAGTTATTTACCACCATTCTCTCATTCCTTATTTTCTTCGTTCTAAAATTGTAATATTGGAGGGGATTTCCTCATACATAATTAAGTGTTACGTGTCAACATGTTACCCGCTATATGGCCGTTGATTCCGACTTCAACCTGCTTTGCTTTTTGGATTTGCTTCAATAGGTTTTGTCCACTCAAGAACAAACTACAAGGCAACAGTTATTTCGGAGTTGTCTCTCTTAGACTGGTTGATGTTCCCAGCTAACAAAATGCTTAGGCCAGGGGGAAGAACTCGAAACGTTAGGAGTTAGCAATCATACGCTGTCTCTCGCATGACCAATCCAATCCTCTCATTTAACTAATGAGGGGGGAGGGCAAGTGAGAGAAGCAACCTGGGGGAGACCACAACTCCCCAGGGGCAGAGTGAGATTTATAAGACCTCCAGCCCTTTCCTGAGTGGAGTTACTTTTTGAAAGAAAAATAAAAAAAATAAAACATGTTATTTTAGGAAAATTAAATTTTATTGACATTAGAAAAAATGTATATTATATATTTTACAGAACTATTCACAGCAAGCTCTACAACATTACTAGTCTGGTGAAAAACTTAGCAGAAAATCACAAGGTTAATAACTAATTAAGAAGTCTACATGTTAGAACATGCATTTTATTGTAATTAATTAAATTTCTAAAATCCTTTAAAATGGCAGTTAAAATTTTCATTGGTTGGGTTTAGACACATCAGAGACTTGTGCATATGTTTGAGGCGTACACATAAAAATAAGTCAGAAACATAAAAATTAGAACACATAAAAACAAGTCGTATAGGGCATAAATAAAATAAAATCTGAAATGTGAAGAATTCAAAAATAAATTATACTCACCAACCATAATTGGTTTACAAAGAATCATTAAGAAGTTGCAATCACATAAAAACAAAATTAAAAATAAAATAAAAATGGGGGACTGAGCAAACACACTTCAAGTTCTATAACTCTGAGCAATTCAGGTTGTTTTTGTTGTTAACTAAAGGAAAAACTTTTAAAGCCACATATTGTAAAGAACTGACAATTGTAAAAGGAAATCGTTGATAAAATGTATTTTGTTTTTGCGAATTAAACATTGAATAAAAATTTATAAACTCTAATAGGTTAAAAAAAAACAACTTCTATTTACATGATAAATTGATGCATCATAAATACATAACTATTATGCCTGGATTTTTAAAATGTAACCAAATTAAATAAAAATAGTCCATTAACTGTTTATGTGGCATAAAAATATAATGTGCTAATTAACAAAAGTGCAAAATTTAAAAAATCTGGCAGCTTGGTGAACCATGAATAGTATTCTTGGGATACTTTGTCTACCTATATGGCAGGTTTTACTGGCTAGATATATGTATACTTAATTTACTTTTAGATAAAGGTAAATTATTAGTTGTCTGATAAATGTATACTTATGCCAGATAAATGTATACTTTGTTGGTTGCCAGATAAATCTATAGCTTGTTGGTTGCCAGATAAATGTATACTTTATTGGTTGCCAGATAAATGTATACTTTGTTGGTTGCCAGATAAATGTATAATTTATTGGTTAACAAATATATGTATACTTGGTTGCCAGATAAAAATATACTTTTAGTTCAAGATAAATGTATACCTTATCCACAGAGAACACAATGTTTTTGTTTGCTTGTAAATAAATTTACCAGTATCCACCTGGTTTATTATCGGCTAGTCGTACGATGGAGCACATTTTTATCCAAATCAAGATAAGAAAATATTTTCTATAAATATTTGCATCAATCACTTTTTTTTGTTTCCAACAGAAATAACATGAGGAAAATATATCCTTTCCGAATAGAGGAATTAAATATTGGAATGATTCCTGAACAGATCACATTTGTAGGACAGTTAACTCTGCTGAACATGTGACTTCTCCGTGAGAGTTAACGGCCTTGCATACATAGTCCCCTTCGTCGTCTTCTTCGATGCTTCGTATAATCAGAGAATGAGCGCCAGTTGTTTTGTTGGCATTCAAGGTGTGCCTGTCATCCTGATGGACTTCCTCGTCCTCAAGGAACCATGTGACGTCAGGTGACGGGTCACCTGACACAATGACGTCAAACCTGGCAGAGTCACCGGCACATGCCTTGCAGTTTTTTACAGTTTTGGTGAACACTGGAACTGATGTTTTTGTGACAGTTCCTGCATCTAATTGTTTATCATCCAGTTTTTTCTTTGCTAACGAGGGCGAGACAGTGTTAGGTGCGGGGGCTATCCTCGCAGTTTCTTTCACCTGCGAAATGTCCTTTTTGTCACGTCTAAATTTAGAGTCACTGTTAATAGAGCTCAGATCTTTAGAGTTTTCAGACGCAACATTTTCCTTAAGATTCTTGTGTACTGCACGTCCTTCACTTGTTTTATTATTTTCTTCTTTTGTCAGAGAAGTAGCTTTGTGGGAATTCCCAATGTTCTTTTTATCACTTTGGGAATTCCCGATGTCTGAATTATCATCCAATCCATTTACATTGGAACTTTGGGCAATTTTAGGTGAAATTTCATCAAGATGGTCATCACTGGACATCAGTTCACTGCGGGTCAAGGTCGGAGCTTCTCCCTCCTGACCAGGTGATTCTGAGATGACAGGTCTTGAAGGTGAGGAGCTTCTGGAACCCAGGATGCTGTCCTGGCTGCTGCTTCTGCTTAGGTTAAAGTTGTTTTGGCTGGGGATTTTCTTCAACCTTCCCACAGCGAGCACAGCCTTGCCAGTTTTCTGTTGACACGGGAGAAATAAATGTCAGACCAAAATGTTACCAAACAATGGAAAAATATAGGCAGGAAATGCTTTAATTAAATAAGGTTAAAAATTGTTAAGGGCATGGGCAGGTGATGAAAACCAAAATAACCAAAATGCTTATTTCTAACATAATGCTATAATATTTAGCATATAGTTATGACTCAAAGAGATTAGTCAAAAAATTTTAAAAAATGGCAAAAAATGTCCTTCCGTTACCATGGTGATGGCGGCAATGTATATGCTAAATACTTAAGAATTAGGTTAAGAAATAAACATTTCTGTTATTTTGGTTTTCATCACCCACCCATGCCCTTAAAAATAAATGGCTAAAACTCATTTGATTTAGAAGTTTTCTACCATCAACCAGTAGTTAAATAGACTCATGTGGTGTATTGTGTATAACAAAATGTATGAAAGAGGATTTTTTTTTTATTAAAGCTTAGGAATACTTGCAGATAATTAGTTTTAATAAAGGGTCTACATTTACAAAAAATCCTGAACAAAATTTTCAAAATATAGACCAGACGAATTAAGTCCACCTGTTTCTGACTTTGGTATAGGAAGAGTTAGTGTGGTAAGGTCTATGACCAGTTGCCTTTGCTAGGGAATGTAAATGCAGATGGCAGCAGGCAGATGGTAGCAGGCAGATGGTACCCAGCAGACATCAGTGAACAACCGCTCATTCTATTTACAGCAATCCAGAACTGAACTTGAGACTTAAGCACTACCACCTAACCTCACCACCCCATCTCTTAAGTCATAACTCCCTAAATACATTTTTAACAAAAGCAGTTCATAATCTGCTCTATACTTTCACACGATTTTGGGGAACTGAAGACAACAGGGTGTCTGCAAAATCAACAGCCACGGAGCAGACAAAATGGAAGGTTATGGTTGAGGCCCTATCCTCCACAAGGAGTAAAGAGGAATAAAGGCAATCAAGTCACCCAAAATTAAGATCCCTTGATGTTGTAATTTCTATTAGCAGAAAATCTAAGGTTTCATGTACCAGACAGCTTACAAAGTGGTAAAAAATGAAACAATTGTAAACAAACGGACCATCCACTTGCAGACAGCTTACAAAGTGGATGAAAATGAAACAATTGTAAACAAACTGACCATCCACTTGCAGACAGCTTACAAAGTGGTAAGAAATGAAACAATTGTAAACAAACTGACCATCCACTTGCAGACAGCTTACAAAGTGGTTAAAATTAAAACAATTGTAAACAAACTGACCATCCACTTGCGCCTGACCATGAAGCGTTTCAGTCTCTCTGTGTTGAGGCGCTTGTACCGTATGCCGTCGACCTCGTCTTGGTTCAACCAGTCATGTGACAGGCAGTCATGTGTCAACATGCGGTCCCTGTTAGAAACATTTGAAAAAATCATGCGTCAACATGCGATCCCTGTGAGAAACATTTGAAAAAATCATGTATCAACATGAGGTCCCTGTGAGGAATATTTTAAAAGTCATGTATCATTAAATGAATTGTGTTTCACATTATATTATGTAGATGATCAAATGTTTTAAAATGCTCAGTACCAACACATTACTTGTATTTCACATTATATTAAGTAGATGATAAATTGATTTAAAATGCTCTGTACTGAAACCCTTCTTCACTCCAAGCAGATTGTACTTAATATAAATAGACAGTAGTAATTTCCTGAACTTGGTTATCAATAACAGTTCAACACAAATAATTGAGTGTTGTTTTTAGTGCCAACTTTGATTTTTACAACTCACTGAGTAAGTTGAATGTGTAATGCTCAAGCAATACATCTACTGAATAGTTCATGTATTAGAAAAAAAACAACGAACAATAGGAATAACAGCAAACATGTTTGAAAACTTTAGTATAGTTACCAACATGAAATGACCACATATCAAAGCATGACTTACTCTAACTCTAGTATAGCTACCAGCATGAACTAACCACATATCAAAGCATCACTTACTCTTTCTTCTTGACCAGTAGCTTAGAGATAAAATCTTTGGCTTGATCGGAGATCTCATCAAAAGCCTCGTCATCAAAGTCAAACTCTCCGCTGGTCACGCTGGCCAGGGTCTCGGCCTCATTGTCACCCAGGAATGGGGACAGGCCAGATAAGCTGTGATACAACAAGATACAAGATAAGCTGAGAGATATAGAAACAAGTTGATACAAGATAAGCCGAGAAAAACAGATACAAGTTGATGACATGGTGAGAAAGACAAGATAAAGTGGCTGATGAGAAGGGTGTCGTAATTAAACTGTGATTTACCAAGCTCTTATGAAAAAAAAATGGCATTAAATAAAAGCTAATATGAATAATTTACTGAATATAATACACTCCATAAACAAACAAATTACAGCACATAACAAATAACTAAAACACCCCACAAAAAACTTACAGCACATAGCAAATGACTCCAATACTCCACATATCTGTACTAAATCCAATCTCATCATAATTGATGACTTCAGGGGCAATGAACTCTGGAGTTCCAAACAAAACCTTGACACTCTCCCCTGCTTTAAAGAAGCGAGCCAGGCCAAAGTCTATGATCTTTATTCTAAAAACAAAATATCATAATCTGTACGGAACATATTAATTAACATCATTTTGATTTAAATGTCACTTATATGTCAGTATATTCACCATATTATGACAAGGGGTCATCTATAAATGACATCACGCCTTTTTTGCAGATTTTTACCTCCCCCCCTCCGTCACAAAAAGCCAGCCCCCCCCCCCCCCCCCCTTATAATGACATCACACCTCAGCCTACAGCCACCCTTAAAATTGCAGTTGAATTTTTCTTAAAATACGATATTTTTTCAAAATCTTGTCTGAACTCTGTCAACATAGAGTATTTTATTCAATTCCTAGTACAATTTATTAAAACAGTTTTCTAAAATGCAAATTAACAGCTAAAATTAGTTTTCTAACATTGCTTTTTTTTAAAATGCAAAAGTATGATGTCACACTATCTGAATCCCCCCCCCCCCTCATCACACACTGTCATAAAATTATGGACTGCCCTGCTCCCCCCTACGAGTGTGATGTCATTTATGGACGACCCCCAACTGCAATCCATAACAGATTTTTATAAATCTTAAAGGAATGGTGGGGTCAAAAGTTAGAGCTTGAGACTGCAAACCAAAGGGCTCGAGTCTGTAAGACATTCTTTGGGGGAGTCTGTAAGACATTCTTTGGGTCCACCCAGCTTAGATGGTTACATGACTCATGTTAGGGAAACTAAGGACATGGGAATATTGCTGATCACCTCAAGCTTTCGATTTGCACCCCCCCCCCCGCTCAAATTTTTCTCCATATGTTTTGCTATTTTTTGCCTTGGTGTACCCCCCTAAATGGTGTCACCCAGTGTGGTCCACGCCCCCTCCCCCTCTCGCTATGCCCCGGTTGCTGACCACACTATTCCCCTGTATGCTGAGGTTATTGATATGTCTAAACTCTAATTCATCTGCCTCATGTGTTTTGGGCCCGGGCACGAAAAGATTATAATGATAAATCTGCCTTTGGATAATTAATCACAATGTGAAAACCTGCCAGAATTGTCTGCTACACGCAGGATATCTTCAGGCTTGACCGCCACCCCGCATCAGCTGATCTTTAATTAGACTTAGTTTGCTTGATTATTCTCATTAATATCGCCAGGTAATAAAACAGCTGGCGAGACCCACCTGTTGGAGTTTTCAGCCACGCAGAGAATGTTTTCTGGCTTGAGATCAAGGTGAAGGATGTTGAGGTTGTGCATGTAGGAGACCCCCTCACAAATCTGTCTCAGAAAGTGGACGCAGTCGCGCTCGGTGAGGACAAAATCTTCCCCGATCACTCGCTCAAACAGTTCACCTGCCCCAACGCTGTGGACAAACAATAAACATGTGATTTCTTGCTTCATAACTGCACACATTATTTTTTTAAATTTTATTCAGTAAATATAATATTACTTGTCCAGTTGTTTATATTATAACATTAAATTAAGTTAACGTATTAAATTAAGTAATTATGACCTAATTTAACTTACAAAGTCATGACTAAATCCAAAATTTTTGTATTTTTCATGGCTCTTATAACTCATATAACAAAAGCAAACAGGCTGACATAAACATGTAACTCACAATTCCATAACTCATAAAAATTAAAAAACTCATTATTTCCTAACTAAAAAAAAATCTCTTTATTCTATGAGATAAAAAACAAACATCAATTTACTATACCTGACTTAGAAAACAAAAACCATAAACTCAATATTCCATAAATTAGAAAAAAAAAAACAACTCATTATTCCATGAATTAGAAAAAAAACCATCAACTCATTATTCCATGAATTAGAAAAAAAAACTATCAACTCACTATCCCATGAAAGCCATCAATTCACTAATCCCATCAATTAGAGAAATAAACCGGGAGTGATCTCCCCTAAATTTTCTCAAATATTCTAATATAACACTACGTGGGCAGGCAACTCGGAATATAGACATGATTTTTGTTTACTTAAACTTTAAAAATAGAATAAAATCTAGTAGAAAAAAGAATTGCGCACCAAGTGAGGTGTAAAACATAGAGATTTGTAAAAATCTCGATTTTTTTTTTTGCACGATTACAAGACTTTCTCTATACTTCGTATATACGAGAAAGTAAAAAACCATCAACTCACTATTCCATCAATTAGAGAAAAAAGCCATCAACTCACTATTCCATCAATTAGAGAAAAAAGCCATCAACTCACTATTCCATGACCAATATGATTCTCCTGGGTTCCTCAAAGGCGTCCCATAACATGAGCAGCTTGGGATGGCGCAGCTTGTTCATGATATCTATCTCATTCTTCAGCTGAGTTTTTTCTTTTTCTCTGCATTTGATGATCTTGGCAGCAAACACACTTCCGTCTGACTTTTGATTGCACTTATATACAATGCCAAATTTCCCTCTAGAATAGAAAATAATTATGTAAAAAAAAGATTATTTTAACCAGCAATTGTTTTCTTTTTGTTATAGTATATATAAACTGTTTTTTTTTATTATAATAATAATAATAATTAATATACTTAGATTTAAATTAATTAGGCATTATTTTAACAATCAACCTTTTTCTTTTTTATTTGAAAAAGTTTATTTCTTTATTTGTTTATTAATATTTACTATTTAGTCTTAAATTAACTAATTAAAAAATTATTTTAACCATTAACCTTTTTCTTTTTTACTTAGAAAGTTTAGTTTCTTTATAAATTTTTAAAAATATTTTTAGATTTGAATTAATTAAACAATTATTTTAGATTAATATTTATACTTACTAAAACTATATTTTCACTACTTATAATTATTTAACCAAGTTTGTATGACAAATAAATGCTTTACAAAATGGTTGTCTACCCACAACCAGCTTTGTTTGTGTAGTTAACAGTTATTTCCCTTGACTAGCTCAGTCTAATATTTTTACAGCAAGAACCATTGACAGTGACAGAAATTAAATTCTTTAAGGGTTAAAAAAACAAACTTACTTCCCAACTTCATTTTGGAGATCATAAAGATTTTCAAACTGATCTTTTATGTTCACTTTAACATCTCTTGGTTCAAACGGTAGCTCATCTGAGGGAAACAATTTAATTAGGTTTTTAATTATAACAGTCTTTTTACATTTAAGGTGTTTAATTTATTTACAAATCGAATTTTATTTTTATATATAATTTATGTGTAAAAATATTACAAAACTTATATTAATGTCAATGTCATTTTATGGTAAAAGTTAAAGAAAACTAATGTTTTAAAGCCACAAAATCTTATACCGCGTTTACACTTGCGACATGTATACTATATATTTCTAGGAAAAAAAACTTCGCAATAAGTGAGTAGGCTCCCCTATTATCGTAGGCCCTATAGCGAAGTTTTTTTTTCTAGACATGTATAGTATACATGTCGCAAGTGTAAACGCGGTATTACAGAAACTGTTTCATAAACTTTTTTAAACACTAAAGTAAACTGTCACAACTTATAGAAAACAAAGATCATTAAAGTATTTTATTCCACTACCAAAGTTAATTAATATATATGATCTAAATGTTAACTATCCATTGCTAAAGTGATATCTAGATTTTTAGCTACAGACTCAGAGTTTTTAACACAGAGAAAAGTTTTAAAGTTATTACAGGTTTCAGATTATTTTAGAATGGTTACATATTTAGATATAATAAATAAATAGTTGTTATAATTTAGTTGAATAAACAATTTTATTTGATCAAAACATGATTGGATTGTTTGAAAGATTACTAAGTCCACTGTCAAAATTTAAGAAGGCAATCTAAAAAAGTTTTTTCAAACAAACAAAACAGAAGCGGTAAGCTTCAAGCCGTAATACATTACTTCCTAATTATCATTTCATTAAAACATTATATTAAGTATTTTTTAAAATTCCGTTAGACTGTTTAAGATTTGCACCCCTCTCCCCCCCCCCCCCTTTGCATTATAATTAAGATCATGCTTGACTGATTATGAAATCTTCCCCAATTAATTTAACTCCTGCAGACAAGCCAGCAATTGTTCATGCAAATGATATAAAAACTATAAAATTGTTTCTCATTAAACTTTAGTTACTAATTGCATTGCATAAGTATTCACGATGCTTGTTCTATTTTAATTAAGAGAGTTCATTATTTATGTTTACAATCCTGATGTTAAAATTTGGATAAATTTTCTCTATATCCCTAAGCGTGCTGAAAATTTAATACAAGTTCCAATGATATATTAAAAGTTTAATGCACCATATATTTCAAATCTAATAATACATCATGGATCAAAAGTCTATTTTATCATGTGTTAAAAATCTAATACAAAAATCTGGGTACATTCACCCTTTACAACCTGAAGCAAATATTGCTGGGGACTGGTGAATACATTTCTATGGTGAGCTGCAAGGGGTTAACACACTTAGGAATGATTGACAAATGATTGACAAAGGGATTGATTCACAAATGATTGACCAACATGGGAATGATTGACAAATGATTGACAAACATAAGAATGATAGACAAATGATTAACATACGAATGATTGACAAACAGGAATAATTGACAAGTTATTGATCAACTTGAATGATTGAAAAAGGACTGGCCAACATAGGAATGATTGCCAAGCTTGTCACTCATGAACGCAGTAGACAATAAAACCAATAATTACAATGACCTTTGAACCGATAACTTCACTTCATTCAGGGAACCGAGTTAACATAACACACACCTCCACACAATGTTAACATGCTCATCCTCTTGGTGCAGTGTTAACAATCTGACATGCATTTGACATGCTCTTGATTATATACCAGGTGGATGTTATCTATGGGTTCTTACTGAAGCACAGGCAGGATGTAACAAAGATCAAAACTGTGAGTTTGCTTATGGGAGGGTAGCCTAAGTCATAGTTGAGGGAAGGGTTCAGGCTATTGAAGTGTGGGTGGTAATGGGGGGGGGGGGGGGGGGGGTAAGAGAAATGTGTGATGTAATTCAAATCTCCTAATAAAATTGCATGATGGCATCTATTGGCAGACCTTTATCATTATCCCAACCTTAAAATTTCTACCAGCATAAAAAACTTTAATATAATATATTATATTATCATCCAACCTGTGATTTAATAAGAACTTTACACAATTATTGTAACCTTATTATTAGGTGATAGCATGCACCAACACAATAAGGAAACTCTACCTCTGGGGTGGTGACATGTATAACCGGCACCAACACAGAGAGGGGGGGGGGAATGACTAGGACTGTGAGTACACTCTACCCATGGGGTGATAAGTTATGTATATTATAATCTTTCTGCACCAAGCTGTTTTATTTTCACACAGGTGTCTATTTGTTTTGTGTATAACTCCTTTAAAATTCATCAATTTTTAGATTAGTCATGGGAGGTAACTACAAAGTTGTTTGAATACAAACCTTACACTTAAAATGTAAGTGATAATGTTTACAATTGCAATCAGTTTTGTGAATAATTTTGTTTTAAATTAACGGCAATATAAAATGAAATTATAAAAAATAAAATATATTTAAATTCATTAAATTACAGTTGTATGAGAAATGCCAAAGCCTTTAAAATTTTGTTCTCAGTTGTCACATATTATATAAATTATATACTTTACAAATGCTGCAGTCATTAGGCATGTGTCATTATGGTTGTCCACCCCCCCAGTAATTTTCTTTTTAAGAAACTAAATAAAACAGCCCCCCTCCCCCTGTAATTTACATCCTTCACCAAATAAAAATTTATAATGTGACATAACAGTATAGATCCTAACAGAAATGTGGAGAGAATGTTAATGAGAGAGTACAACAAGAACTATAATCATTATTTCTCGCATTTAACTACAATATAAAAAATGTAATGTAAGTTTTAAATAAGAAATCATTGAAGAATTTTAGAAAAACATTTAAAAGCTTTCTGAGAAAGACAAACAAAAGTTACCTGTAGGAAAATTATTTTTTTTAAAATGTCAAATTATAAAAAGATTTCACATTGAATGTTATTACAATTAGATCCAAATGAAATATAAATTAATTGAAAAGTTTAAAATAGAAGAAAGAAACTGACATGTATTACTGCTATGATTATTTTTCTAGTGTTAATATTGGTATGAGGTTGATGCTTGTATAGAATACGTAAGTCATACATATATGATTGAATTAAAATGAAGAAATGAAATGAAACAAATAAAAAAATTCGGGCGCAAGCTCATGACAATGTATAAGCTGTTTAGTTCAGAGTTCATTCTTTAGCATTACCTCTTCTTCGATACTCAATAGTGGGGGTAAAAACTTCAGGGTACCCTGGTGAAGCAAATGTAAGACAGAAACAGATAACTTGGTGGTCAAATCTTTTCAGGGATTCTCAAAGTACACACCAAATGCACAACATACCATCTTCATAATTGAAAAACTCAAATACCTCATTGAATTTTACTTGAATTATATTCCTTTTTTTGCCTTCTATTTGTTCTTAAATATATAATTAGCTAAATTAATTGTTGAGAATCCCAATTTAATCAAAGAGAGTCGAATCTAGAGACAGATCCTTGATGAAGAGAGGCCTCAATTGTAAAATATAACCAGGACATTAATTAAATTAAAATACTTCATAACAGATCCTTGATGAAGATGAAATTAGGCTTCAATTTTAAAATATAGCCAGGACAAAAATTAAATAAAAATAATTTATTACAGTTTTAAGATTTGAAACAAAAACTATTTTGGGTTGTGTGGTACGAAAAACAAATTTGGACAAATCAACGGCTGTATCTAATACATATTTATGACATCAAAGCATGCCTTTAAGATATGCATGTAATATATTTCTAGGTTGTAAATAAAAAGTGATGAAATAAAACTGAATAAAAGCTTTCAGATTTTAAAATATATATGAGCTTAAATATGTAATATTGTAAAGATGATACTGAAAAGAGAGAGTATAATAATTTCATTTAGTAAAATAACTATTAAACAAATGGGTATTAAAAACTAACAAATTTTGAAAACATGAACTGTTTATTGGTTATATAAAAAAAGTGAGTCATCGGCAAAGAAATATTTGTTTACCTTGAAAAGGTCGACCTTCAGTGAAACAAAATATAATTTCTTAAGGATTTTTAAAATTAAAAAAAAATAATTCAAGATATTTGCTAAGTCATTTGCATTAGATGGGTAGAAGAAGTTTTGAAAAATATGTTTCAATAAAAATAAAACTTCAGAATGCTAATAGACATAATTAGACTAATGATTAAAACTATATTCCAGCACAATCAGTGCTAAAAGCTACCACGTATGCCATCAATTTTAAAAACACACGCAACAAAATTAGATTTTGACTTTAAATTTGATGGAGGAAAAGAAAACAACATATCAGCATCAAGACTGATAGAGATAAAAATAAAATATACATGAGAGATATGAAGAAACAAGCAGGTCTTCTATTGAAAGATGTTCTAATTCACACAAAAAGCTAGATTTCTATATAGATAATTTTACACAATAACAGTGATATAAAGGTAGGTCTACACAACAAAGAAGATGAACAGATAGTTCTACACAATAAAAGTGATATACAGGTCTACACAACTAAAGTGATATACAGATCTACAAAACAAAAGTGATACAAAGGTCTACACAACAAAAGTTCTATACAGGTAAGTCTATACAACAAAAGTGATACACAGGTCTACACAACAAAAGTGATATACAGGTCTACACAACAAAAGTGATATACAGGTAGGTCTACACAACAAAAGTTATATACAGAGTGTGTACTTCATGCACACTACCAACGCACTATTTAAATTTTTCTTATTAGTTTTGACATACACAAATACAGCAATTTATTGTGAACTGTGCTGACAAACTACGCAGATGTGCATTTGATGCTACAAAGACTTGTGAGACAGCCATAGCTTTCAAGCATTTTTGAGTAAAAACAATTACATCTACTCCAAGCTTACTTTCAAATAATTTTTTAAAGGTCTGTTTTAAAAAGTAATCAATTTTTAAGCGGTTTTTAAATTCCATATGGCAGCTACATTATATGGTTCTAGCTTCAAAGCAAATCAGATCTACAGAAGCTCTTTAACAGATATAAACAGCGAAACAAAAAAACCACTTGATGCTGACGAAGAGAAAAAAAACCCAAATTATCGATTAGAAAAGCTTTTTGATAGATATAAATAGGTTACTGACCTTCTGACTCGTAGTCGCTGGGTGACCTGAAGGGGTCAGTTGTGATGACCTTCTCCGAGGGCTCCGAGGGTGAGCTCAGTCCATGCATGTTGGCTGCACATACACGGAACTGGTACGTGGTGCAGGGCTTGAGGTCAAATATGTGGCAGGAGAGTTCCTAAAGGACAACAGGTTGGTGGAAAATATTGTTTTAAAGAAATATAAACAAATTACAAAAATACTTTATTTTAAAAATGTGTACAACTTGTAAAATTTAATCTAAACATTTATAACTCTTTATGTCAAATATGTGGAAGTATCATTCTTACATGACAACAGGTGGGTGGAAAGTATTGTTTTAAATAAATAAAAACAAATGACAAAAAAAAAATTATTTATTTGTAAGCTCGTAAAATTTTATCTGAACATATATACTCTTTAAATAAAGTCATAGGATTTACTTCTAAAATATTTTTTTTGTTGAAAATTTTAGTTAATCGGGTTTTCCCCAATATTTTGGAATAAGTTATGTAACTTATAATAACTTTAAAAAAAATAAATAATAATAATAAATAAAAATAGTAAGTACTTTTTCAAAGAGAGTTACTTCACTTTGTAGTACATGTAAGTTGTTTTGAACAGAGTTGTGGAACTTACTTGTAAAAATACTTTTGTTTGTACAACCAAGTTCATTAATGTTCAAATGTTTCAATTATTTTTAATGACAGTTAATGTGTTTATTTTGTCAAAGAGAGTTATTGGACTTGCTTTTAAAAACTGTTTATTTTGTCAAAGCAAGTTACTGGCCTTGCTTTTAAAATGAGTTTAATTTGTCAAAGAGAGTTACAGGACTTACTTTTAAAATGCGTTTATTTTGTCAAAGAGAGTTACTGGACTTACTTTACACTGAGGAATCAAGACATCCCAAGTCTTCTGGCTCCGTGTCTTGGCCTCAATGATGTAGTAGATGACAGGGCTGCCACCATCAAACACCGGCCCACACCAGGATAAGGCTGCTGAGGTGGAACCAATCTCATAGACATGAGGTTGACCTACAGGCACCCCAGGCACATCTAAATACGGCAGTTGAAATAGATGGTATCAGTTTACATACAAATATAATAATCATTAAAATATAAAATAGGGTGTATGATTAGGCTACAGGACATTACCCCCCCCCCCCCAAATTTACCCCCCAGAGCAATTACCCCCCCCCCCCCCCCCCTGGGGAATTACCCCCCCCCCCCTCAAGTTATCAAGTTAGAATCCCAACTCTAACTAGAATTCTATACCTATATATTACCTTAATACTAACCTTAAGAAAAAGACCAAAACCTAAGCATACACCCTCAGCCTAAAACTTAACACAAAACCAAAACCAACACTAGACATTAGTTTAAGCTTAACCCTAACCCTAGCCCTACCCCTGTCCAGGGGGTAATGTCCTCCTGGGCGGGGGGTAATTACTCTGGGGGTAATGTCAGGGGGAAATGTCTGGGGGTAATTGACAGGAGGGGGGTAATGCCCTGTTCCTGTATGATGAGTACCAATTATACATTGAAATATTTTAAAAAGAGAAATTATTTTTATTATATTAACAAAAACAAAAGGTTTTAAAGTTGATTTTGCTTCTTGCCAAGTAGTGCCAGGTACTGATAGGAACTGGGTGAGCTCATAGATACCATAAATACCCAAGTCATCTACATATTCAACTACCAGTATTCAAAGGTTTTGTCACTTAACCCTGCTTTCATATACCTTCGGAGAAAGAAAGTCTAAAAACAAATGTCAGTCTGAAATAAAAAGCTAGAAGCCTAGAATTACCTAGAAATTAAAAAATAACAGTTTAATTTTTATTTCTCACCCTCAATGGAGATTTTAGCCTCAGCTTGATCAGACCCAATACTGCTGGTCAGACAGGCAGACAGGGACCCTGCGTCAGCTGGCAGGGCAGGGTTAAAGGTCAGGACACTGCTGGTGTCGTCTGTCTGCATACACACTCTCTCGTCTGGTAGAGAAAATATAAAAACTTTGGGTTAAAATGGTTTGTTATTAGATTGTTGTGTTCATTAAGTTAGGAAGCTCTTGTTATGTACATATCGTTTAGGAAACTCAGTGGCTTTCAAAAATTAACGTTACTGTGTCATTATTTAAATTGGGTTAGTTCATTTGTAGGGGTGTGTAGTGTGTCAAAATGTGGCTGAAGTAGTGTCTACAACAAGATGTGGTGATGGTGTTGTGGGTGGAGGTGGAATAGGATGGAGTATATTTGCTTGGATAGATCGGAACATGAAGTTACTGCCTAAATTTTATGTTACTAGTAAAACACTTCTCAAACTTTGTCTGAACTCTGAGCATAATTTCAAGTTAAACTAGAAGCAGCTTGTGACTCATTTCCCTGTCTAGGGTTTAAAAGGAAAATATCCCATAAAAGTTCAGATAATCTAATCCTACATGTCAAGCCTCATCGTTTTGTTTTGAAACAAGTTTGAGAGAATTGATCTGGCCACCAGTTGCCTCTCATGTGACCAGCATTGATAAACCTTATCACACTTGTTCCCTGTGTACGTTGAAACAGACAGAATTGTGTAACATCCATTACACTTTCTGTGAAACAGGTGTTTGCTTGCTTAAGCTTTTTTTATTGATTGATTCAGACCTCCTAAAATGTGTCCGAGGTATAAAAAAAAATGTCGTAAATTTAAGTTGTAATGGGAGAATGAAGTTATCCATACAGGGGTTTACTCGCACTAGGGAGAAAGCTGGGAGGATTCAAGAATAGGAGGGGTGGGGGTTATTCACACAAGAAACAAGGGGGAAGTAAAGAAGGGTTCTCTGTTAGTCTGTGATGTTACTGTAAACATTACATTGCTGTACTAAAAAACGGAGCTTGTTTCGTAAATTTGAGACACGGCAAGAATTGGAGCCACGGCTAGAATTGGAGCCACGGCTAGAATTGGAGCCACGGCTAGAATTGGAGCCACGGCAAGAATTGGAGCCACGGCTAGAATTGGAGCCACGGCTAGAATTGAAGCCAATGCAAGAGTTGGAGTAACGCAAGAATTGAAATCAAAGATGTTAACTAAATTAGATGTTGGTGAGACCACTAATGGTATCTTATTCCGTGCTTTATACGGTGTGTTTAATTTCAACATAGCCCGGGTCCCAGATCATTGAAATACAAGAAGTGATGACAGGAAACGGGATACTCCTGGTAGATGTATGAAAGACTAGTCCAAGTAAAGGGTCGTTTTTAAGATTTGTCATCAATAATGGACGATCCCTTGGTTAAAGTACACTGATTTAATAAGTGAAGCTCATTCAACAGGACTGTGCCAAGTTTAGGTCTGGCATTTTGTCATTCGGATACAGAAATCAGTACACGTATCGGCTAAGTTTCCACGAAAACCACAGGTCGCTAAAAGATGGGTGAAATGAAATAGTCGACCAAACATTGATGTATAGCTCAACCTGTGAGGATAATTATTTGTATAAGGGTTTATGCACTCAATGTTCACATATTTTGAACATATACTTGATATTTTGATGTGTTAAGTAAACAAAGTCCAAAAATAAATACAAATAAAATGCTAGCGTAGGCAGATGCTTAATAAACAGCTGATTTCGATTTGTTTCAGGTTGTTTGTTTTTTTTTTAAACGAGCCGGCCCGCGGCATAACATACGCCGCTATTTAGTTGTTTTTTTTTCTACTTTTCAGTAATTCATAATTTGTGAATTCGACAGTACCAACGCTGCCACTGAAAATATTTCTTTAAAACACTATAAGTAGCTCGTTAAGGACCATAACCCCCCCCCCTTCCTTCCCCCTCCCCCCTACGTTTAAAAACGTTGGCTCTGCTTGTAAACATTTAGAGTGAACACAGCTCAATAAGACCATGTAGGGGTGGGGAGGTAGGGAGCGGGTTTACAGCTTGTTTTCTAGCGGCTCCCAGAAGAGAATTATATATACGAGCCGGCCCGCGGCTTAACATACGCCGCTATTTAGTTGTTTCTAATTTTCAATAATTCATAATTTGTGAATTCGACAGTACCAACGCTGACACTGAAAATATTTCTTTAAAACACTATAAGTAGATCGTTAAGGACCACAACCCCCCCCCCTTCCTTCCCCCCCCCCCCTCCCCCCCCCCCCTACGTTTAAAATCGTTGGCTCTGCTTGTAAACATTTAGAGTGAACACAGCTCACTAAGACCATGTAGGGGTGGGGAGGTAGGGAGCGGGTTTACAGCTTGTTTTCTAGCGGCTCCCAGAAGAGAATTATATATACGAGCCGGCCCGCGGCTTAACATACGCCGCTATTTAGTTGTTTCTAATTTTCAATAATTCATAATTTGTGAATTCGACAGTACCAACGCTGACACTGAAAATATTTCTTTAAAACACTATAAGTAGCTCGTTAAGGACCATAACCCCCCCCCCCCCCTTCCTTCCCCCCCCCCCCCCCCCTACGTTTAAAATCGTTGGCTCTGCTTGTAAACATTTAGAGTGAACACAGCTCACTAAAACCATGTAGGGGTGGGGAGGTAGGGAGAGCGTTTGCAGCTTGTTTTCTAACGGCTCGAAGAGGAGAATTATAAATATAGAAGATAGAAGATAGATAGATAGAAGATAATGGCGTTCAGGGGAAATAATTAGAGACAAAAGGGGAGAGAATAAATGACAGAATAGTCGCTGACGTTAACGCGTGTTTTCTAATTTGGGAATCGCTACGGTACAAAAACTAAGCATACTTTTAAACCTCAAAAATTACAACAGCGTAGCCTGTAAAATCCACATTGTTAACAAAATAAATGATGCTTATTTAGAAAAAATAAACAATAAGTCTCAACCTATGAACTTCACGATATTATAATTAGAAGATATGATAAAATCATAAATTTCATAACAGTTGGTACGTCATTGTCTTGTACAAACTTTTCTCTAACTCACTTCCTCGTCAGTCTGTCTAGACCGAAACGCCCGAGTGAAAATTCGGACGCTTCTACTTGACCAATACGATTCACACTTGGCATGTGGGTCAAGACATGAAGACAATGCAATGTGATATTAAATTTGACTTAATCGGATGCCTAATTAATTTTGTATGAATTAATTAAAATTTGGACCGAATTAGTAGGCATGTTTAGCCAACCACACCACACGCGTCATCACGTTCAATAGCTGCGCCATCACGTTCTATGGCTGCGCCATCACGTTCAGTAGCTAGGCGCGCAATGGTTTTTAGTCATGTAACTCTATTGTAAATAAAACATGTAAAATACTGAAAAAAAAATTCATAAAAAACGTTTTAATAACAAGCTTTTTTATGTAATAATGCACTAAAAAGTAGAAAATAAATTATAGACTATTATTTAAATAACTAGAAAGAAAAGCGTGGGTCACTTTAGTATCTATTGGATACCTTTACTATTGTTAACGAAGACACCCACCCTTTTCTTTCTAGTTATTTAAATAGTAGTCTATAATTTATTTTCTACTTTTTAGTGCATCTATATATATAAAGCAAAGTGGTCAAGTGCCCGATAGGGCACTTCCCGGCACCGCAGGCGCGTCAAATTTGGCATGATGGTGCCTTGGGGCAATAGAACACGAGGGCCGGTGACGGTTTGCCGAAAAGTCTACGGAGAGGGGGTAAAAAAAGACCTCGACTGACCGGCGCCTTATATGGGCTATATTACGAAAAAAAAATTCCTCCAACGACCCCCCTTGAAATTTTGTGAGGTGGTAGGAGAACGCCTTGGGGTGTCACTAAAAACTCGCCATGTCCGGGAAAATTCGTTAAATGGGTCAAAACTGACCAGTCGTATTTCCCTATATAATCTTTGTATTTTATAGGAAAAACAGAGGGTGATTTCAAAACGGATTTGAGGGCACTTACCGTCTTTACATCTGGCTAATTTTTTGCATGCTCTTAGGTAAATGGCTTGACCTTTAGGGAAAACTGTCGGTTTCACTCATAGCCCTCGACGACGGCTAAAAAGTGACCGCGAGTGAAATTCTCATTATACGAAATTTGGTCATTTTGTCTATGAACAGGGGAAGTAACTTTTTAATGTAATAATTTTTTAAAATTTGTATTCTCTTTTAAAAAAAACCAAAAATCATAGAGTATAGCATTGTTTTAAATAAATATTTAGTTATAAATTAAGTTTTGTATTGTACTGACATTGTAAAAATTAATTGCAAAAGTATTTTATTATAATATTTAATTGATACTATTGAGAAACCCCTTGCAGTTCTAATAACCGTGCAAGTAATAAGTTTGCGAATATTCCATCAATATCTGTTATAACCGAAATTATTCCGCTGTATAAATTTAGGCCCCTAAGCATTTAACATAGCAGCCAATCACCTATTAATTAATCATTCAATTCCACAATTTTTTTTTGTAAACCTAAGCGAAGCTAGGCAGTATGCCTAGTTATTACATAAAAGCTTGTTATTAAAACGTTTTTTATGAATTTTTTTTTCTCGCCATCCGCGAAAATTATTTAAAATTATTTTAATCCTCTACCTTCTAATGTCCCTAATTCCATTTGACTCATCACGCTATCAACAGAGTCGTCCATTGCCCTGCTCCTTATCCACAGAACATAACCATTAACTTGTACATGATATCCGTGCGTACGGGACCACAGAGATACAAGTGTACAAGCCGCAGGTATGTACACTAACCAGCATCCCTGTAACAGCTAGGCCTAGACATAATAGCCCAACCAGCTGCCGTACACAATTAAGCGAGTGTTAGTCAGATCTTTCCGCACACTCGCATTTTTTTACTTCTAAAATACTAATCATTCAACGACACGCTGAGAACACAAGTGATCCAAAACATTACATAATCTCATGTCGCGGTGTCCCAGTTGGGTTTTTGTATCGCTTGAAAGCGTTTGTTTATGTTTTGGTATTCGCGTGCGCGCGGTGAAATGTGGTGTGGATCTGATGGGTGATTAGGTGTGGAGTTTGAGCATCAACGATTCACCAAT